TATTTGAAATGACGTCACGAGTTCAATTTAGATACTGAATAATCATTTTACGGTAAATATCCAAGGCTGATATTGACAAGACATTGATATTGACAAGACAATTGATATTTCGCTTCCCATCGCTTCCGCAGGCTGTTGAATATTTTTATACTTTTGTTTATATCTCAGTTTATTTTATCAAATATTTCTTTCAATAGATCGAAATACCTTTACCTAACCAAGCCACATGTGTCAGTATCATCTTTTATTGTTTATCAATCAATTGTGGTAGCTGGAAACTGGAAAGCCTCATGGTTGTCTAATGCAAGATCAATGAGATTGTCTTATCAATATCATTATGTAGATTCTAACATGAATTGTGATGTGGTAGGTACCTAGTTATGTATTGTTCATTAGTCATTACTTTGACTTACCTCTATGTTAATTGTTAATGCAAACTTTTCTGTTGGTATGTGAACTGTGAACAATCTTCATGTCACTCAATTCTCTCAAGTTGTGACCGTCATGAGCCTCCTTTATTTTGTATTCTGTATAATGTAACTGGATGCCTTTACTAATATGGTCTTTGTATAAGATTGTTTGTTTCTAACCATACTTTGGTATTCATAACTTCTTATGAAAGAAAGTTGTTAACATTTTGAGCACCTATGTATGAGCTATGATCCCAACGGATCTCACGACAAAATTGGGGAGCCAGATCTATGATCCGAGTGGATCTAGCGACAAAATTGAAGGGTCAGATCTATGATCCCAGTAGATCTCTCGACAAAATTGAGGGGTTGGATCTATGATCTGAATGGATCTCGGATCGGGATCCATGGGATCGGATCTCAGATCCATTTTTCCGGATCCAAGCACATGTCTGCTGAGGATATTGAACTCGAGTACTTGCAGGTGCTGTAAAAGACACATATTTGTGTGATTTACCCAGTAGTTAGGTCGATGGGAATAAATTGTTCTAAATGTATGGCATTTGGCTAATGTTCCCATCCTATGGCTACTGTTCCTAGCCGACTGGGCGGGCAGGGCGGCACTGCGCTCGGCGCTATCTCAGCCCTCTGCCGGCCGTCGCTGCCGCTGTCAGCGCTTTACAAGGGCCGTCACCGCCAGACCAGACAGTTTTACAAGACCAGTCTGCCAGCCGACGCGATTAGCAAACAAATAAAATGTAGATTAGCCCCTTGGCTCCAAGAGCCGAGCGGAAGATGCAATCTCTATCTGCTCGACAAACATAAGACGGATAAAGCAGCGGATGAAGTTCCCCAATTACTTGGAATGAGGCTTTTGACTAAGGTCATTTCCCTAAACGTCATATGGTTCCAAGACAATGAGTTTTGCTTCGATGAGCACAGTCGGTAAACTATGAATGGTTGATGTTTATGCAAACATGACTGCCTAGGGCATTTGGGATAAAGAAACTGAATTTCCTTCTTATCTGGTAAAGAAATTAAGACATTTTTTCAAAGATACGCTCACTTTACGGGCATTGTAAACAACGATCGTAAATCCAAGTCTGCAATTTAAACAATTACGTAATACTTCAAAAATAACGTCAAACTGAAGTAAACAACTAACTTAATTGTACGGCAAGCATTTGATGAAAATACTACATCATTTCTTGGAGCTCTCAACAGCAGGGCCACTCCAATCATATCGCCATAATAGGCTGTCGCAGTGCTCCATTCCGACCACCGCCGGTCGGCTGACCCTGGCTGGCTTGGTGGCCCCCCAGTCGGCCCGGGCCGGAGCGACGCAGGCGGCTGTGTCCCACGGAGCTCGGGCGGCATATGCGTCGGCCGGGACGGTCGCGCCACTGCATCGATTGCGTGCCCGAGCGGCCGTCTCTGCCGAAACTTCCGAGCTGAACGGGCCCTGTCGTGCGTCCGCCGCGGCGCTGACTTTGCACTGTTCGCAGGCAGATATCCAGTCCAATTACTTGAACACCCTCCTTTCTTTTCAACGAGAAACGCCGGGACATCCCATCAGAAAACGCAAGGTCGCCGTCCGTTCGAGGACCGCGCTGAGTCTGAGCGCTGAGTTTCGCTGAGTCTGAGACCATCGTTCACTCAATATACCCCGGTCGCGTCACCCTCCGTCGCGTCAACCTCCGCCGTTCTGCCCATTCCATCCCATCTCGCAGCCAGACAGCCGTCCGGCCGCCGCTCGGAAGCCGCTCAGCTTTGAATGGCGGCTTCCACACCGCGCACAGACCGACCGGGGACTCCGGAACGCTCACTGATTCCATCCAACGGCTGATTGCATTTCGCGCGCCGGCGCCGCACGTTGGAGCGGCGGCTGGCCGACCAAATGGTATCGGTCCGAGTGGCGGCGCCAGACGCTCAGAAAAACGTCCCATCCTGCACTGAGCCGGCGCGCCCGTGGTTAGGACGATGGATCGGGAGGCGGCGACCCGGGATATTGGCGGGGCGAGTGGCTGTCGCGCGACCGAGGCCACCCGGGAACGCTGCTGGCTCCCCAGAGATGGAGCAAAAACATGTCACGAATTGCGCCGTACGAAAATGCATCAAAGTTTATGACAGAGATAATGCAGTATTAGCTCAACTGAGTAGGTATAGCGTTCAGCGTAATGATTTTTCCTGTTTTTTTTTATTACTGATTCAATACAAGGCAAGAGTCTCTATAAGCACTGATTTAGGTATCTGCACTGTTGTCTGATCTGTGCATTGTGCGTGTTCCTCGCATCATCAAATACCTACTCATAACGAACTTCAAGATTTTAACAAATCTTAACTTTCTATGAGCAAGCATTGGTATTAAAACTCATTGGATAGTGTTGGGGACACTAAGTCAGATTTAAAAGGAGCATAAATTAAGATTAACAGGAAGATATTTTGGAAATGATTTACCACAGCTCATATATCATGCGTATTTTAATTCAAATATGGTTGGCCTACAGAGCCTACAAGACAGTCTTGATGAAATGAGAAGTTCCCGTTCCGAGAAACATTGAGCAACGCATGCCTAATATTCAAATGATCTCTGCTCGTCGAGATTCCCTAAGGCCTGGGGAGTGGGGAGCCATCCATTCAGAAGAAGGGGTCGTTGCCCTCTGTCCACTATAGGGTGATGGACAGAGGGGAGGCTGTCTCTGTCTAGCCGAGAGGCGGGAAGGCTGCCCCCTGTCTGTCAGGACAGCGGGACCGGCTGCCCCCTGTCTGTCAGGATGACGGCACCGGCTGCCCTCTGTCCATTGGGTGCCGCAAGGGTTGCCGGTTATGGAACCCTCCGTTTCTCAGAATGGTGGGGTCGGCTGCCCACTGTCTGTCAGGACAGCGGGAGCGGCTGCCCTCTGTCCATTGGGTGCCGCAGGGGTGGGGGGCCGCTCCATCCGGCGGGCCGGCCGTCGGCCGTCGGCCGGACCTCCCCTTTGATAGCCGGCGGCCCGGCACGACCCGCTGCTGAGGCCGCCGGCCGCGCCCACAATGGCCCGCTAAGGGTGAAAGGAAGCGGCGCCGCCCGGCCGGACGGAAGGCGCGATCCTGGCCGGAGCCGGCGCCTCTTTGTGGCCCGGCTATCACGCCCCTCGGACGGGTGTCGCAGAGACAAACGGCCATTGTGCGGCACCGGCGGCGCGACGCGAGCATCGGCGGCTCCTCGGAGCAGCCGGCCCTATATACCGCGGCCGCCGCCGCCGCCGCCGGCATATATTAAGTAGCCAGATGCGTCACTGTATTTCAGCGCGCACAAGACAGATCGGCAGCGCGGAATGCCGTCGGTGCGCTCATGTGGAGGCCAAACGAGATGGAGTGTCCACCACGTGGTTTGTGCCACACAATGTGTACGGTGTTCTATCAGGAACGGAACGTGCGGGTGATTAATGGAGCCAGAAGCGATCCTATCTGGGTGAAATGCATTGTCAGGAGCCCATAAAAATGTCAAAATAGCACCATACGTGGTGGTGGCTCGATGCATTCATCTTATCACCTAAGAACAATTATTTTTACTTTGCAATGCCCTTGACATCTGTAATGAATACGGGCCGCTGTGCTTCCGAAAACATAAAAGTTAAAAAGGTAGGTAAATGAACTAAATCAAATGAGTAAATGAACTAAAACAGATTCAATCTCCAACAATAAACTCGTACATTGTCTTATTGCAAAAGTTATGTTATGGTTTTCAGCTTAAGGCTGATGTCCGATGCTTTCTTCAAAGATAGAGCGAACCTGCACCGACTCCAAGAAGATAACTTTTCCTATGACCTTTATTCATAAAACGTCAATATTAGATACGCCTGCTGAAGCCCGGAACAAATTCCCAACTCAGGTCGACAATTCCTATTCCATCTGCAGTAAAAAGGCTCATTGCAAGCATTGTAACGGTGAGCTCGTATTATGTAATGCGAGTGCCAGTGGTGCTTGGGAGCTGCGCCATCCATAGCGCAGGCCTTGCGGTACAGCATGTCTGCAGGCGCTCACAGCCAGCGCCATCTGTTGATGAGTATGTAAAGCTCTCATCAGTGTAGTGCTATGCGGTACAGCATATCACGTCAGGCGCCTACTTCTAGCGACATCTAGGGGCGGGAGGCACAACCTTCTGACCAGTGACCATAAAGCACGTTGGCAAATTTTAAATGCTTCCGGTTGACCTATCTCACTGCCTAATTTAGGCAGCCTCCTGCCTAATGTAGGCAGTCATGCATGCTTGACTATCCAGGACAAATACGTAGTGCTTGGCGAGATGACAACATAAACAATCGAAAACTTGTCTAGATCCGGAGGAACGAAACCATCCATCCGAGCCTACGCCATGTTTACCCATCAACGACGCTTCCCAACCATCCCAATAATGTGTTTGTCAAGCCAGTTCCTCGTTGAACTCTCGGCTGCCGCGAAATGACATCCTAGTCGAGCGGGCGAAGCGGCACGGCAGTCATTGAACTCTCCTAATGGCCAAGTGGTGCTCTGTCAACTGAGACCGATCAGCCATCAGGACGTCCCCAGTTGGCCAAATGTTACCACCGAGCGGCCCACTCTCCGCAGATTGGCGTCGAAACTCCGCTGCTGCCCATATCAGACGACGGACCGGTGATTGGGGGCGACAGCAGCGCCCCCATCGCCGCGGCGGCGACCGCGGCAACTACCGCGGCCGATGTCATCGTCGAGTGCGACGCCACGCCGCCGCCGGAGAGAGCGGAGGAGCGGAGAGAGGAGGAGAGCGGCGGCTGGCCGGCGGTGACCTGCCGCCCGGAGGCCACCACCGGCGACGGTGTCGACGAAATTCTCACCGCCGACGAGAGTACGAGACTCATCTGCGATGAGCGCAAGTTCGATCGAAATGACGACAACGACAATCCGCTAGTAACGGCAGGTGGGTAAATTAAAATGAGGTTTTTAGGAGAAAATTAGAATAGATTTAGGCCGAGAGATCCAAAGGCATCGCAAGTCCATCTAAGGCCTAAGGCCGTGGATCTCCCGGCCTTAGTGTATTAAAATCAAAATAGCATTGCATTCCACAGTGTGCGTCTATGCCTTTCGTTGAGGAATAGATAACTTGCACAATATCGCTGGTTAGAAATGGCAGTTAATAGCATCATTTCCGGTCGACCGATTGGAGCAATTCGCAATCAAAGCCGGCTGGAGGTCGGTAAATGGAATGGGGGGGGGGGGGGTAGATCAGGTGAGCTTAGAAAGCTGACCTCGCGCCCGCCGCCCGCGGCATGATCATGATAGGAATAAGTCATGGTTCACCGCTCGGTACCCGCAAATTATAACGGGTCCGTAGCAGGGTTGGTGACGAGGCCGTTTATTTTCTCTCGAGACGAAACTGAAAGCGACGGCATTTATGATTCCAAAAATTGGTAGATCAGGAATGTCTGTCAAGACAGCCCATATTCAGCCCAGATTCAGCCCGGATTCAGCCCAGATTCGGGACACCTCCGATCAAGCTGAAACTCGCACACAATGTAGGGCATGATATGCCCAATCGACAGTCCAAGCCATTCGGTGGCACTCCCAGCCGTTTGACCTACAGAGGTCAGCAAAGGTCACGTGGCCCAAATTTGCACAGCAGATTGTGGCCCACCCAGTAGAGCTAGAGCGCTAAAAATGGCACCAATCGACTCGCCAGCATCTAATCTTACTTTCCCAACACTCATTTGACCTCTCAAGGTCATGCGATGACCTAAGGTCATTTGTGGGCTATGTCGAAAATACACTTGCACAGCAGTTTTTGAGTAGATGGATTGACTGAATTCCAAATCAAAGCACATCATCGGGTAGCCCATAGGCCGTAGTACTTTCCCTAAAAACTGCTTTTCGATATGTGACCCCGTTTGACCTCGGCAGGTCAAAATGTGCAAATAAACGACACTCAATACGTCGCAGCCCGGATTCAGCCCAGATTCGGGACACCTCTGATCAAGCTGAAACTCGCACACAATGTAGGGCATGACATGCCCAATCCACAGTCCAAGTCATTCGGTGGCACTCCTAGCCGTTTGACCTAGAGAGGTCAGCAAAGGTCACGTGGCCCAAATTTGCACAGCAGATTGTGGCCCACCCAGTAGAGCTAGAGCGCTAAAAATGGCACCAATCGACTCGCCAGCATCTAATCTTACTTGCCCAAACTCATTTGACCTCTCAAGGTCATTCGATGACCTAAGGTCATTTGTGGGCCATGTCGAAAATACATTTGCACAGCAGTTTTCGAGTAGATGGATTGACCGAATTCCAAATCAAAGCACATCATCGGGTAGCCCATAGGCCGTAGTAACTTTCCTTAAAAATCGCTTTTCGATATGTAACCCCGTTTGACCTCAGCAGGCCAAAATGTGCAAATAAACGACACTCAATGCGTCGCAGCCCGGATTCAGCCCAGATTCGGGACACCTTCGATCAAGCTGAAACTCGCACACAATGTAGGCCATGACATGCCCAATCCACAGTCCAAGTCATTCGGTGGCACTCCCAGCCGTTTGACCTACAGAGGTCAGCAAAGGTCACGTGGCCCAAATTTGCACAGCAGATTGTGGCCCACCCAGTAGAGCTAGAGCGCTAAAAATGGCACCAATCGACTCGCCAGCATCTAATCTTACTTTCCCAACACTCATTTGACCTCTCAAGGTCATGCAATGACCTAAGGTCATTTGTGGGCTATGTCGAAAATACACTTGCACAGCAGTTTTCGAGTAGATGGATTGACCGAATTCCAAATCAAAGCACATCATCGGGTAGCCCATAGGCCGTAATAACTTTCCTTAAAAACCGCTTTTCGACATGTGACCCCGTTTGACCTCGGCAGGTCAAAATGTGCAAATGACCTTAGGTCATCGCATGACCTTGAGAGGTCAAATGAGTGTTGGAAAAGTAAGATTAGATGCTGGCGAGTCGATTGGTGCCATTTTTTAGCGCTCTAGCTGTACTGGGTGGGCCACAATCTGCTGTGCAAATTTGGGCCACGTGACCTTTGCTGACCTCTGTAGATCAAACGGCTGGGAGTGCCACCAAATGACTTGGACTGTGGATTGTGCATGTCATGGCCTACATTGTGTGCGAGTTTCAGCTTGATCGGAGGTGTCCCGAATCTGGGCTGAATCCAGGCTGCGACGTATTGAGTGTCGTTTATTTGCAGCTTTTGACCTGCCGAGGTCAAACGGGGTCACATATCGAAAAGCGGTTTTTAGGAAAGTTATTACGGCGTATGGGCTACCCGATGATGTGCTTTGATTTGGAATTCGGTCAATCCATCTACTCGAAAACTGCTGTGCAAGTGTATTTTCGACATAGCCCACAAATGACCTTAGGTCATCGCATGACCTTGAGAGGTCAAATGAGTGTTGGGAAAGTAAGATTAGATGCTGGCGAGTCGATTGGTGCCATTTTTAGCGCTCTAGCTCTACTGGGTGGGCCACAATCTCATGTGCAAATTTGGGCCACGTGACATTTGCTGACCTCTGGGGCATTCCACGTCAAATCAAACACCGAAATCCGTCATCCCCTTCGATTTTTCTGAAAATTTGTAGGCAGACTGGGCATGGTTCAAAACTGAGTTACGTATAATATTTTCGAAATTTGATAACGTATCGCTGAGATATAGGTCATCGAATATAGCGAAAAATGCCACACATCAATTTTTTAAATGGCTATAACTCTGGTTCCTTTTCTGGTATCAAAATGATATTAACAGGGTCTTATAGGCAATTGATAAGGCTTTGATTTTTAATTATAAAATTAAATTGAAGTGACCTTGAAATGCATTCGACCTTTAATTAAAACAGAAAAATTTAAATAGCAAAAAACACGTCACCTTCGATTTGGGTAATTTTTACATATTATGTCCGTCACAATGTTCCTAACCATCTGTGAAAAAATTGGAGTGGGCCATTCATAACTTTCGCGGCAAACGCCGTTTTCATGCATCAACATCACGCAACCGCGCGTGACCTTGAAAGACAGAGTCAAGACATGCTTGCTTGTGTACACTTTCTGAAATGAATGATTGCTGATTAGTGATATCCCAAACTCTGCGAGAATGGAAATGCATAGTCATCGTAGTCAAGCATTCACGTTCCATAGTAAAAGTGTCTCAGGCAAACGGTATTTTGCGGTGAATTTTGAGCCGTGTGGAAATATCATGAAGTAAATTCAACGAAAACATTATCACGCAACGATATCTTCACGTCTTTTGATCTTCACTATACGAAAGAACATACATTTTTTAGTAAGTATGGGGAATTTCTAGCTAATCCAATAATAAATATGGCAGTTAGAGGCCTGCTAAGAGTAACATGTCGCCGGCTGAGGCGGGCTCGGTAGATGCGGGAAACGCAGCAATCACAATTTTGTGTTTACACGTTCATATTTCAATTGTTTACCAACTGATTTTCAAAATTCTTTCACCATAAGATTGCCTGTACATTGTTTAGTCTTCTCACAAAATTTAACGCGAATCGAACGTAATCAGCGGTAGGGAGCGCGATGTAAAGACGGAACCGTTCCGTTCCGTCCCGGCACAGTCTACAATGCAGGCGGCGCGTAGCGGTCGGCGCCGGCTGCCGAGTCGCCGCGTTGCTGCGGCGACAGGATGTTCACTTTACACCGCTATTACTAGAACAGTTGTGAACCGATTTTCTTATTGCTTGCACGATGAGATGTCCAATTCAATTCTTGACAGGTAGCCATAATTAATTTCGCATTAATCTTATGAGATATTGGCGAAAAACAGGAGGGGTGGGCGAAATTCGTTCTTCCCCCTCCACTGCGCGTGCTAACATACGTTTGCATATGTGCAATTTTCTTCAAAACTTATAAATGGCCCACTCTAATTTTTTCACAGGTTGTTAAGAATATGGTAGGCAATAAAATATATGAAAATGAGCCAAATCGAAGGTGACGTGTTTTTTGCTATTTCAATATTTGTGCTTAAGAACAGAGTTAAGCAAATTTCAAGGTCATATGTTTAAGTAGGTGCAATTATAAACAAATGCTTAAGAAATTACCTAAACATTAAGGTTTATTTCATTCAAATCAAACAAGTACAACCAAAGTTATGGTCGTTCAAAAATATAGATATGCAACATTTTGTAAAAATTTGATTCCCTATATTCAGAAGACCTGTGGTCAGAATGTGCAAAAAACATCAATGTAGTGTCCGGGGCCACACAGGAACTCGCTCACAAATTTATAATGAAATCGCTGATGGTAAGGTGCAAAACAGCCGATTTTTGTTCGATTTGACGTGGAATGCCCCCTCTGTAGATCAAACGCCTGGGAGTGCCACGGAATGACTTGGACTGTGGATTGTGCATGTCATGGCCTACATTGTGTGCGAGTTTCAGCTTGATCGGAGGTGTCCCGAATCTGGGCTGAATCCGGGCTGCAACGTATTGAGTGTCGTTCATTTGCACATTTTGACCTGCCGAGGTCAAACGGGGTCACATATCGAAAAGCGGTTTTTAAGGAAAGTTACTACGGCCTATGGGCTACCCGATGATGTGCTTTGATTTGGAATTCGGTCAATCCATCTACTCGAAAACTGCTGTGCAAGTGTATTTTCGACATAGCCCACAAATGACCTTAGGTCATCGCATGACCTTGAGAGGTCAATTGAGTGTTGGGAAAGTAAGATTAGATGCTGGCGAATCGGTTGGTGCCATTTTTAGCGCTCTAGCTCTACTGGGTGGGCCACAATCTACTGTGCAAATTTGGGCCACGTGACCTTTGCTGACCTCTGTAGGTCAAACGGCTAGGAGTGCCACCGAATGACTTAAACCGTGGATTGGGCATGCCATGGCCTACATTGTGCTCTAGTTTCAGCTTGATCGGAGGTGTCCCGTGCTTTGATTTGGAATTCGGTCAATCCATCTACTCGAAAACTGCTGTGCAAGTGTATTTTCGACATAGCCCACAAATGACCTTAGGTCATCGCATGACCTTGAGAGGTCAATTGAGTAAGATTAGATGCTGGCGAGTCGATTGGTGCCATTTTTAGCGCTCTAGCTCTACTGGGTGGGCCACAATCTACTGTGCAAATTTGGGCCATGTGACCTTTGCTGACCTCTGTAGGTCAAACGGCTAGGAGTGCCACCGAATGACTTAAACTGTGGATTGGGCATGTCATGGCCTACATTGTGCTCTAGTTTCAGCTTGATCGGAGGTGTCCCGAATCTGGGCTGAATCCGGGCTGCGACGTATTGAGTGTCGTTTATTTGCACATTTTGACCTGCCGAGGTCAAACGGGGTCACATATCGAAAAGCGGTTTTTAAGGAAAGTTACTACGGCCTATGGGCTACCCGATGATGTGCTTTGATTTGGAATTCGGTCAATCCATCTACTCTAAAACTGTTGTGCAAGTGTATTTTCGACATAGCCCACAAATGACTTTAGGTCATCGCATGACCTTGAGAGGTGAAATGAGTGTTGGGAAAGTAAGATTAGATGCTGGCGAGTAGATTGGTGCCATTTTTAGCGTTCTAGCTCTACTGGGTGGGCCACAATCTGCTGTGCAAATTTGGGTCACGTTACCTTTGCTGACCTCTCTAGGTCAAACGTCTGGGAGTGCCACCGAATGACTTGGACTGTGGATTGGGCATGTCATGGCTTACATTGTGTGCGAGTTTCAGCTTGATCGGAGGTGTCCCGAATCTGGGCTGAATCCGGGCTGAATCTGGGCTGAATATGGGCTGTCTTGATCAACATAGATCAGGATAGCTTAAAATTCATATTGCGTTGGCTATTAACGAGACGTTTTGGACGGTTACCATGGTAAACACCGCACTGACTGCCATCTGGCTGCGTAGCTATGTAGGATACATATAGGTACCTGCAGCCCGCGGCGAACCGAAATAAATAAACCATACTCAGCTACTGTTCCCACATCCAATTCATAAGGGCATTAATAGATAAATACCACGGCAATTGGGAATGCTATTGCTAAACAGACCTACCTTTGACATGATGATCCATCACGCAGCAAAGACCAGGCGACAGTGCACAGTGATGCTCCCGACACTCCCGACCATGGTTGCAATCTGAATCCCTCGCTGAAAGGCTGTATGCTCAGTGCTCGCTGCACACTTCACAGTGCACACGTTTAACTTCCCTCCAGCTCACTTCCGCAGGAGCAGAGCCGTCGTCCATCGGAACACCGTACTGGCGTCACTCTCGGAGAGAAAACACCCATTTTGATTTCCACTCGCTATACGCCCGAATTAAAATTGAAATTGAGCGCAGTGCGCACTTCAGCTTGTTTCAGCTGTGCAATGAGCAGTCCACCTCACCGACTTCAACCGTGTCCGTATCCCACGAGTTTTACCACAATAATGTTTGACACGTTGTCACCTTTTCACGTCTTTCACTCCACTCGCACCACGTTGACGTTGCACTATGCCCTTGCACTATGCTACGTTTCCGAGACACGCCACACTGCGCGCCCGATCGCGGCCTCGGGCAGAGCGGACGGCTGCTTCGCCTCCGGGCATGGTCACGTGACCGTCTGGGCGGCAGGGAAACGGAAGACGACGCGGCCCACAGAGGCGGTGTCCGGTGACAGCCATAAAAGTGTGGGGAGGGGAGGGGTGACGTGGTAGAGCTGTGTCCAACGCTGATCGGCATTTGATTCGAGCCGTCATTTAGTCATTGGAGTCTTGGACTTTTTCCTAGCAAGATATTACGTATCCTGTATCCATTTGTACTTATATCGTTACCAAGGTGTAATTAAGGTGTGAACCTAACTACCCACTTATTCCTCTATTCCCATTATGCTCAATATACTCGCAGGCTGATGTCTTCGAGATATCAGCATGCAAAAAGCTTGAGAGTAAGTAAAATGAACATAACAGGTACGGGCACTTAGATTTAGCCGAGCAGAAACTAGGCTACTATAGTTAGAACTTAGAACAGAGAAGACCACTAATCTCGTCTTAGATCAACGATTTGGCATCAGAAATACGAAATACGAAATTGTAGTGATTTCTACCGTGCAACATTTCATTCTCAGTCCCCCGACGGTATTTTCTGTGGTAAGAACTGGCAAAAGAAGCCTGCGTGACTGACGCCCGCCTCTCCTTTACCAGTGATGCCGACATCCGAGATCTCCATCGTCCTCACCAACTCGTCACCGACCGAGATGGAGGAGACGGACGGCCTGATGTCGTCCCTCGTCACCGTCACGCCCGGCGTCACCCTGTGACGTCACAGCTGACGTCAGTGCGCGGGACCGCTGAGAGGACAGCTCGGGACGTCCGGTGATGTGATTTACGGCTGACGTCAGTGGCGAATGACGTGCGTGATGTCGCTCTGATGTGGCAAAGAACTGCTAGTGATAATTGAGTACCTATACGCTCCACGTGCTGAACTCTCACAAGAAAGACATTGAAGATAAACGATATCATAACAGTGTAGGGTGTCTGGTAATGAGCAGTCTCTGACTTCCGTGACAAGGCATGGCGGACGCAATCAAGATAACGCCGATCTTATTTAGATCAGAGGAGCAGCAATGTTTTGTGTAACATATCTGTACAATTTTTGTTTACCGGTCGGTGTTTCTGTTTCCTATATGTCATACAAGTTAATAGTTAACACTAAAACCACCACTCAATTCGGTATCGCGCTAAATTAAATATGACAACGCCAGTCCACCCCAAACCAACACCACTCGTCGCGAACGAGTGCGACCAGCAGTTCAGTTCTGATGGTCTCACTCAAAGCGAGCGCGCCCCGCCACTTCTCTCCCGTCTAGCCGGGCGACACTCCCACCCCTCTCCCTGGGCGGGCGATCAGGGCGGCTCGTTCGCCCATGTCCGACCCATTAGACCCCTGGGGAGCATGTGCCCGGCCCCAGCCACTCTTGCCGCTGCTGAGCGCGGCAGTGGCAGTGGCGGTGGCGAAGGCGACATTGGCTGGCTGAACGATCGATGTTTATGTTTATTTTTTGTTTGTGGTGATTTCGTCGTCGCGGTTTCGCCTGTGTGGAGATCATATGAGCGGCGAGGGGAATGACGGGAATGGTGCAGAAGTCATAGAATGGTTGTGATGGTGATGGCAGCGACGCTATAGAAGCGATGGGGCTCCTCGAGTGGTGGTGGTGGCAGAGGCGATACCGAGTGTGTTGGCGATAAGCCGCGGCGACCCGTCCTCTGAACGAACATGTGCTCTAGGAGACGCCGGCAAGAGGTCGGTAACGGCGTGATGGCTCGTAACGAGCGCGTGCCGCCTTCAGACCGATTGTGACGAATGTCCCTTTCTCTTTCAAAGCAGTCAGTTTGGCAAGCACCGGTGCAACCTATAGCAGCCCGCCAACGCACTGCATTGTGTGGGGCTGAGCACTGGTCTCTTGAAGTTGGCACTGCGGGGCTTCCTAAACACAGCCAACAAGGCTCGTTACGGTCCACTTTACAGTTGTTGACTGCGGATGAAAGCGACAGGGGATAGTCAGACGCGATATAAAAACCTTCAGACGACAGAAGTAATGTGACGTGCTACGTTTAACGAGCCGCCTGAGACGGTATATGTAACAACAGGACGGAGTTAGTTAACAACATCCCCAGTCCCCACACCCGGACGGATACTGATGCCAAGCCCGGCCAGCAGTGGCCGAGCTGGATCGCCCTCGGTTCGGTCACAGCTTCCAATGCAAGTTGCCAAGGGGACAGAACGTTGTGCCAACACGAAACAAAGGTATCGGTCGCCAATTACTGTGTCAACCGTAAATAGTTGTCCATGAGTGTTGATGCCGGCGCCCGGGATAAAAGTGACACTGATCACTGAGAATTATCGCGGATAGTTGCCTATCCAGTATTGGTGCGTGTGTGTGGCTGTATTCAGAGAAGGAAGGTTGGAGAGTGCATCAGGTCGTGTTCAGAAGTGTGCGAACCATCAGTTAACGCATACATATGCGTACTGTGCGTACTTCTGTAGACTGTAGACATATTGTAACTGTATAATATTGGAGATATTGTATACATGTGCTGTCGAATTTGAATATAAATATATTTGCCCATCATTTCATCTCGCGTTGACGAATGTATGCGTACAAATCCAACACGAACAATTGACACATTCCGAGTTTAACGGCGAAAAGCGTTCTATGCCTCGTTTAATATTTTAAAAAAAGAGCAATAAAGTAAATCGGTTACCCTTCAAAGCATTGTTCGGGAGAGTAAAGTGTTAGCTGTTACAACGAAACACATCAATGAAGAAAATCAACAAAAACGTATGAGTATGCATAATGTGTTTCACTTTTCAAATACATCGCTCTAGAGCGATATTAATGCACAAATCAGTATCTACCGTGTTATTTGAGCACCCCCAAAACTAACGATCCTTCCTATGAAAACCAACTACCATTTCATCACTAAGGCACCTGCATCATTCCCTACCCCCTAGCTCCCGGCAGCGCATCTCGCTATGAGTAAAGTTAATTTGTTCGTCACGTCGTGTGCACTCCATGCCATTACCCAGCACATCGGTCGACAGAGAGGCACCTTTGATCATGGAAGCACATCGCATAGCATCTACATATCAATTACCCAGCAGCTTCTCACCAGTGTGCGCACACAACCGCACTTTCCACTTCGCTTGGCGAGCTTTTACTGAGCACTCGGTCACACCTGGTGCTCTTGGAATGTCCTTAGCGTCTATCTACCCTGTATAGTGTAAACCCATCCAAATATCCAAATATTCCCGTAACGAGACCCTGATTCGGCCCCTACTCCATGCATTACTAACACCCTGAGGGGCCCCGGGCGACCACATCCCGGGACGATCAGCTGGCAGGCGGGGTCGGCCGTCGACTACACCTCGAGGACGATATTTCCCCGGGCGCCGGCCGAGTTGATGATGTCCTCGTGCGCTCGGTCCGCCTGTAACCGGAGCACGACATCATATGAGGGGCGCGGACGCGCCCACAGGAGAGGGGGGAGAGGGACGGAGGGAGAGGGGGAGAGAGAGAGAGAGGGAGAGGGAGAGGGAGAGAGAGAGAGGGAGGGGGAGAGAGAGAGAGAGAGAGGGAGAGAGAGAGAGAGAGAGAGAGAGAGAGAGAGAGAGAGAGAGAGAGAGAGAGAGAGAGAGAGAGCAAGAGAGAGCGTATGTGTGTGTGCATGATGACATTGAAAATAACTCAGAAATCTAATGTACATAAGCTACACTCGTAGGACGTTACGTCGCAGCTCATATTTCTTTCGCAAACCTCAGAGAATTAATATTGCCGTCATCAGACATGTGCATGGATCCGAGAGCTGGATCTATGATCTCAGTGGATCTCTCGACAAAATAGAGGGGTTGGATCTATGATCCGAGTGGATCTCTCGACAAAATTCAGGGGTTGGATCTATGATCCGAATGGATCTCTCGACAAAATTTAGGGGTCGGATCTATGATCTCTGTGGATCCAGCGGGCAAAAATTTGTGGAGGACCTATGATCTGTATGGATCTCACGACAACATGTAGCCAATGAAACCCTTATCCTACATAATTGTACACCTTACAGTGCAATACAATTGAGAATTGTCACTTGTGGACATGGTTAAGACCAGTTGTAATCATTAGGTATCAGCATTAAATTTGAATTTAAATCAACAACATTTGTACTACATTTAAAATAAACCAAGAACATGCACATTGCTACTTTTTGTGACCAATTCTTTTTCATGACAGCACTGATGACAATTTTATCAACAAGCTACAGCCACTTTAATTCAATGGACAAACAGTACAGACAGATGCAGTGGCAGCAGGGCACTGCAGATTTTCATTTTGGTCCCATTCTTTCCATGCAACGCCATAGGGCTAATGTTAAAATGCCAAAATCTATGGGGGGGCACTGTACCCTGGTGCCACCCCCCCCCCCCCTGTTCCGCCGCCTATGGACAGATGTTAGGAAATCAAATCTGGAAGCCAAATAGGTCAGTTTTGTTAAAAATAATCCAGCAATCCACTTCTGCCATGGGTATGAAATCCCAATCCAGAATGTTCGTATGAGCTGTTAGTATGTGCAACACAATTTCGATTTAGTAAGAATAGCAAACAACCTCTAATACTTTCCTAATAAAATTACAACTTCAAAAATGGCATCAACTTCTTCAGATTACCTACTTTTGGCATCGTGCCATGTGTGGTGCCATGCTGTGCTTTCGTTATGAGAGAGCCTCCCAAAAAAAAGACAAACGAAATTCACAGCTCACGTTTCGGTAATATTTTTTATTACGTCATTATCGTTTGACCAATGAAAAATCTTAATTTGACTAAAACCGTAATGATTCCAAAAGATTCCCCGTAATAGGCCTTTCAACCTAATGACGTAAGATATTGTAATGCTTTTGAAAAGTGAATAAAATAAAGATGCAAGGCGCGACCCGGCTCAGGGCCATATAATACCGTTTCAGCTTACGTTTACGTCATTAAATTCAACGCTACAAAGATGATATTCACAAACAATCGTATCGTAAAATAATTATGTGAGGTAGAAAAAAATGAACATTCTTTTGAAAAAAACTCCAGACTTTTGAATTTCCAGTTTGATTTTTTATTTATTTTCATTATACTCGAAGGTAGAACGCTTAGCTCATTTGTTATTTGAAATAACGTCACGAGTTCTATTTAGATACTGAATAATCATTTTACGGTAAATATCCAAGGCCATTACAATTGATATTTCGCTTCCCATCGCTTCCGCAGAATATTTTTATACTTTTGTTTATATCTCAGTTTATTTTATCAAATATTTCTTTCAATAGATTGAAATATCTTTACCCAACCAAGCCACATGTGTCAGTATCATCTTTTATTGTTTATCAATCAACTGTGTTAGCTGGAAACTGGAAAGCCTCATGGTTGTCTAATGCAAGATTGTCTTATCAATGTCATTATGTAGATTCTAACATGAATTGTGATGTGGTAGGTACCTAGTAATGTATTGTTCATTAGTCATTACTTTGACTTACCTCTATGTTAATTGTTAATGCAAACTTTTCTGTTGGTAACAATCTTCATGTCACTCAATTCTCTCAAGTTGTGACCGTCATGAGCCTCCTTTATTTTGTATTCTGTATAATGTAACTGGATGCCTTTACTAATAAGGCCTTTGTACATATAAGATTGTTTCTAACCATACTTTGGTATTCATAACTTCTTATGAAAGAAAGTTGTTAACATTTTGAGCGCATATGAGCTATGATCCCAATGGATCTCACGACAAAACTGGGGAGCCGGATCTATGATCCGAGTGGATCTAGCGACAAAATTGAAGGGTCAGATCTATGATCCCAGTAGATCTCTCGACAAAATTGAGGGGTTGGATCTATGATCTGAATGGATCTCGGATCGGGATCCATGGGATCGGATCTCAGATCCATTTTTCCGGATCCAAGCACATGTCTGGCCGTCATGTGCACTGCTCAACAAAGATACAATATTGCCGTAACAAATGGCTCTCAGGGGACACATCTGCTGCAGAATATATCCCACGTGAACGGTTCTATACAACTAGACCTTTTTTCGCGCTCAGGGGACTAATCTCAGGAGATAAATATGCGCGGACGAAAACAAAGAAAAACCGTGTAAAAATGTAACAAAAAATGGAAAATGGAAGGAGGTTATTGCACATGTTCATACTTCAGCATCACAGTCGTGGAGTTCAATGTTTACAAAAATCGATCAAATGCATTCGTACTCGAAGGAAGATTGAATGAGCAAAGTACCTACAGACCTATAGTTTATAACATGTTATAAACAGACAAAACAGACATTCCACCTTGAAAGATTATTGGTTCGGATCATTCCACATATCTCAATTTGTATTTTCTACTTTGAAAAATGGCATATGATAAGCATGAAGAATGAAATCACCCGAATCTGCTGGTTTGTTGCGTAAATTTGTCTGTCTGTCACTCCACTTTGCAACCAACAACAGCATACCACGCGAGCTCCACGTTGTCACCCCCCCCCCCCCCCCGACGTCGTCGGAATCAGTGTCGTCGGTGTCGGAGGCCGCACGGGCCACAGCCGGCGCGGCTCGGATGATAGTCCCTCTGACAGGGACAAACACCTGCCGCTGAGCCCGGCCACACGGCCCGTCCTCAGAGACGACTCGGCCCCACCGCCCGTCCTGGGAGATGGCGCTAACGACGGAGCCGGCCGGCGCTCGTGGCTCGCGGCTGGCGCACTGATGTGACACCCGTGAGACCGAGCGGGTGGGAGACGGGGTGGGCGGGACAAGATTCTTATAGATAGCGGGGGAGTGCACTACGTAGTGGGAGAAGCACGATGGAGGGACTGGTGGGAACAGGGATAACGGCGCAGATACGGAAAGCAGGTTGATGAAAAATGAAATATGGAAAATATCGACACAGTATCATGGGGTGAGATAGCATATCAAAATTGGGAGCGTGACCCTGGATCCCGGTGGTTTTTGGCGATATTTGGCCGGCCAGTTTAGGAACCGGCTGGCGCCTGTACTATCACCTCTGTATCGATCGGCGGTTTATCTTATCGCTCAGTGCCGGTATAATAACGACTGGTGCAGTGTGGCTATCAACGCGGGGGCAAAAGTCGCGCAGGACAGGAAAGTTCGGCTTTCTCGTAACACCTACACCCAGTTCAGGCCTAAATACGCACAAGGCGCAGAAGAGGCTACTTTTATCTCCCTTACAGAGCTTAACATTAAATTTAGCATCCCGGAGGCCGGAACATAGGTATCGTTACTAAGATGCAAAGGGATGTAAAGTCAAGCGAAACCAACTTTTTACATACCTCGTGTAAAACGTGTAAAAGGTTCTGAATATTGATTATAAAGTCCTAAAACACTTACAGACGCAAGCAGTTGGAAAATTGGTATCTACAGACCACAAACGCAAATTTACTTCAGCGTCGCAGTGTGGAAGGTAAAATATTGTAGACGAAATTCGTGGCAGGCGGGCATAGAAACAGTTGACGAGCTGGAATAACAAGGGTTCTCAGCACTACTGAGCACCTTCATTAGGGCACCAAAGGACCGCTCAATACCCGTCGAATACCGGTCCCAAAGCTGAACTGAGAACAATGCAGGACGTTTGAGGCTTATCTCGCAGCGCAGCACGCGGTCCGTTACGATACGACCGGGGCCTGGCCGGGAATCCCGATTCGAAGCACCTAATTAAGCCAGAATGGAGGCAAAAGCCAGCAGAATGACGGCCAGGAATTATTTGGCAGCACAAAAGAGTAGTCAGCATTGGACGAATATGAATAAACGTGCGAGAAAGATTCTGTTGTAAGTTGTTCTAAACAGAAAATAGATTATCAGCTTTGGTCGACATCATAAATGAATCCATGAAATGCGCACATAGCTGCAATTAGAGAAAACGTACGAAAAACGTGATTAAATTAGATCCGGCTGAGGCTAGAGTCAAGTTCTCAGAGGCACTCGCAACAGTCAACACAATATCGGTCATTCTCAGAAGCGCCAGAGGGATTCAACTAGCATCTGCAGCAGCAGCCTCCCGCGAGCGAGAAATCCTCCGAGCCGAACTGCTTCCGCCTAGAGAAAGCTTTATGCTAAGTGATGCAAGGTAGGTGTGACAGAGGCTCTTAACTAAGTGATTCTTAGAGTTGTTTTCAGCGCCAAATGTGAATCGTTCCAGCCCGCTGTTTAAGTTGGAGCAGCGCCGGAAATTCCGAGTGACCACCAGTCACGTCCGGTCGGTAAAGTCTTGTGCGCGAGTCTGTCCGGTTGTCAGTGGAACCTGTCTGTCAGTAAAGTCCAGTCTGTCAAATCGCATCACTCAGTAAATGCCGTCAGGAGTGCCGCCAAAAGCCATCGCTAACGAAAAGACCACAATTATGACTGCTGTCGGATAGCCGTACAGAGGTCTGAGCCTCATTCCTCACAACCTACCGCCGCAGCCAATCGACAAGCCTTATGTAAGCATACTAACACCTCACACTATACATGCAAAAAAGGCACAAACACAAGAGAATGCCGCCCATAGGCATGGCACGGACAGCCCACACCACCCAATCCCATAGCCCCATTACGCAGCTAACTCAATAGCCAATCAGTGACAGGATAACACTAATAATACAATAACACCGCTAACTGCTAACTGGATCAGCGTCCCTCGTGGTCCAATGAGCCGCGGGGGGGGGGGGGGCTGCTGCATTCGGAACGTGACAATGACCGGGCACCATCCATGCCTCTTTGATTATTCCCTGAGATTAGTTTGCGTGCTGGCTAGTCGTAGGTCCCTGCATCTTCCCCGTTCTAGAGCGTGCCGTATATTTGATTTGCAGAGCTGGGCAAGTGCGTTCCTTTAGTGCGTTCCTGCGTTCTTCCGTAAGTACGCACCGCCCTTTTTAGGAACGCAAGAACGCAGGAACGCAAAGTTTTTCAAAGGAACGCAAGTAAGAGGAACGCACCACCCGAAATTTTGAAGCGTTCCTGCGTTCTTGCGGAACCACCCGAAAAATTATATTGCTGCCAATGACCTATGTGTCAAATGTTTGAATCTCGAGTACGTGTGTTTGCCGGTAGAGGCGCCACTTGTCGGTCGAATCGAGGAAGGCTTGCTTAGATTTAGTGGTGATGTTTACTATTCGATTCGGTTTCAGGCATTAACCCGCGCCCCGCTGGGGGGGGGGCAGAATCTGCCCCTCCCGTTTTTCGCCAATAACTTCAAAACGCGTTACGCCAGCGACGTCAAACTTTCAGTACCTTATCACACATCAATTTGACACGTTCCCTGAAAATTTGAACGAAATCCGTCGGAAAATTGTTGAGAAGTTGACGTTTTAGTGACGTCATGTTCGCCATTTTCGCCTCAAAAACGGCAAAATTTCAAACGCCGCTAACATCTTCATTTTTAAAGGAATCAAGACGTAACAAAAAAGGTTATACGTGATTCCACGTTATCTATCAAATGGCTATCTCGGTTTTTTGAAAATTTTGGATTTTGGCCCAAAATTTTTCAAAAAACTGATTTTTGGGAAAATAGTTATAAAATCCAAAATTTTGAGTGTATCGAAGAAACCGGAATATATGTCAGAGAAGTGGTCAATGTGCATCTACATACCAATTTTCAGAAGAATCGGTTCAAAAATGTGGGAGTTATTCAAAATTTCATGACGTCACGACACACAAAATTTTTGAAAAATGATTTTTTTGGAAGTTCTAGACCTCGTACGGAAACAAAAATAGCACCATTCGATTCGTCGTGAAAAATTGCATCAGATAGACACCTTTTTGGGCCTTAACAACCAACTTCAAAATTTGACCTCACTTGACCTGACCTTGACCTGACCTCGACCTGAAATTCATCCAGAGGTGGTCCATATCACTTATTGAGTGTGCCTATTGAATTCTATGAGTAAAATGAACCATAAAACATGTGTCGCACATGCCCTTTTCTATATTTTGTTTTTGGTGACCTGACCTGACCTGACCTTGACCTTTGAATGACATTGTATGCAACGAATATTGTCTTGGTAGTCTAAGAACACGTTTTGGGCAATCAGTCTCAGTCCATTCTTCGGCAACTACGGTGCAAGGCCGATACTGTAGAAACTTGCATTTTGTACCCTTGACCTGACCTTGACATGACCTCTGACCTACTTAAGCAAAAAATTTTGGGCTCTTAAGATCCGCCTTGTTGAGAGCTTTCGATTGCCGTTTTCCCCGTCTTTCTACGACCATCGGTTCGGAAGTTAGACAGGGGGGGCAGAATCTGCCCCCCCCCCCCCCCCCCAGCAGGGCGCGTATGGCTGAATAGCCCAGCGGGGCGCGGGTTAAATGTGTAAAGATTTTTAGTGGTGATGTCTACTATTCGATTCAGTTTCAGGCATTAAATGTGTAAAGTAAATATGATAACTTTTACTAAGATACATCTTTTAACTTAACTATTGTTTTTAAGCAGGTCGTATTTTTGTTGAAAACCCTACGGATGATATTGGTAAAACGTATTTCAGATATTCGATTCGGAAAAGAGATGTCGAGCTGCTTTTCGGCCCCACGTCGCCATTCTGGGTATTCTGTGATCGATTCGCCCCGTGTTTGGTTGGGCCCGCGCCGCGTGGTTCGGCGGTATTTTTGAGGGAGGAACGCAGGAACGCAGGAACGCTAACGCACCGAGCGAAAAAAAAATTGAGGAACGCTATTCCAGGAACGCACTAACCGCGGCCGGAGGAACGCAGGAACGCTAACGCACTACCGAAAATCGAGGAACGCGCCCAGCTCTGTTGATTTGCAAGTTGACATCTCATCTGTTACGGGGAAGATTTTGTCAAACGGGTCCCGAATCTCACTTGCTCCGGGGGTAGATTTTGTGGAACATGTCTCCGGTCTCGCTTGTTCCACGGGCATGTTTTTTTCCGACAAGCCCCTGCTCTAACCTGTTCCGGGGGTGAGTTTTGTCTGACAGGGCTCGGTTATCACCTGTTCGAGCGGGTAGGTTTTGTCCACGATCGGCGTCATCCAGCCGGCCTCCAGACCCTCGCCGATACGGAGATCCAGCTCCTCCCACTCCTCCTGAGGAGATGCAGATTCAGCCGGTTAGAGAACGATGCAGAAAGGCGGCTCAGAGCGGCAGATCATGAACGAGAATTAAAAGCAATGAATCACGGAATAAATATGGTCCCAGACGACATGCATAGTTTAAAACTGACCAGATAAGTTTGCCCAGCAAGCGACCGTTCTTCATCATAGCAAAACCTCATAAGTGATCACAACTCAGCACCAAAATAATGTTTTACGATAGCATCGCTACTCTATAAAACTTGATTGAATGCAATTGGATGCAAACATCCAACACAGACCGCTCTTACCTAATGCAAAAGCGAAAACGGCCCGCCGCCACCTGACACAAACACCGACGCTGACCGCCGTCACCTGACACAAACACCCGACACGGACCGCCGTCACCTGACACAAACACCCGACACGGCCCGCCGCCACCTGACACAAACACCCGATACGGCCCGCCGCCACCTGACACAAACACCGACGCCGACCGCCGCCACCTGACACAAACACCGACGCTGACCGCCGCCACCTGACACAAACACCGACGCTGACCGCCGTCACGTGACACAAACAACGACGCTGACCGCCGTCACCTGATCCTACAGACAGAAAGCCCACCCGGTCGCTGGCGACATATGAGCGGCGGCTGCTGCTCTTTTGAATGTGCTAAGTGCTAACAGCATTTCCTGTGGAACTAAAAACGCATCAGCCCCGCCGCCCGGCTAGAATTTAATTCCAAATGAATATAATTTTGCGAATAGTGGTATTAGCCGGGAAAAAAGCCACCGTGACATTGTTTTAAATTTACAATGGGGCAGTGCAACAAGGCTCTGAACGATTCCATCAGCAGTGCTGATTACAGAAAGTCGAAGCGGGATAAGATAAGGCGTATTTTCGCTGCAATGCCAATCGAGCCGCGAAATGAAATCCCAGCGGCTCAGTAATTCTCCATTTCGCCTTTGGTGCCGGTTTCCATGCCAAGTATAGCCGGCGCCCGGGTCTCCGGCCGAGCCATTCCAATATAGCTTGGCCTCTGGCGCCGGTCCCGTTTCCGACGTGCGAGCGAACGGCTCGGTAATGCCGCCATAGACAGCGGTTACGGCATCCGGCGTTACTGCCCGGACCGGGCGCAGCGCGCGGCCGCCGCGGTCAGCTCATGGGCAGCTAGCTCGGCGGCCACAGCGGCCCGAGGAGCGGCATGTCAGCTAGTGAGGGCAGTTTCAGAAGTCAGAACACGCCTGCCCAATATCTGTCCAAAATCTTGTAGTAGAAAAAAATCAACTGAAAAATCATTTCGTCGGATATCTCCCCAAAACGCTGCTCAAATGTCTTAAGCTCTGAATAGCACCCACGCTTGCGTTCCGCTCCCGGAGACCGTCTCCAACATGCCCTGACCGGCCTCTCTGAGCAGAGGTCGGCCGGCAGAGGTCACGGAATGGTCTCACGGAGTCTGCTCCGGCCACGAGCAGCGCCAACGAGGCCGCCGGGAGTGGTAGGGTGACCACTGACCAGTGACCACGCGGTGACCGAACGGACGTGACCGGCCAGAGGTCAACAGGGTAACACAATGGAACGTCTGTGGCAGTCGTCGGGTGGGCAGGGGACGGTCGGGGAGGGTGAGGGGTGATGACCTCTGACACCGGCGGGGAGGGATAGTCAGAGGGGTTGAGGGGTGATGACCTACCTTTGTGACGGCGGCCAGTGCGCAGCCCATGATGCTGGTCTCGGGGCCCATGGTGAGCCGCGGGTCGATCTGGATGCTCCCCCGTGAGCCGATAACCTGGGAAGCAACAGAGACACAGTCTGAGAAAGGACACAGTCGGCCATGGGATGTGACATTACCGTACGAGATGAAACACTACAGGTCGCCTTACTTCGTAGCACTCAGACACTCCACTCCGGTCGCAGATCCGGGAGTGAGCTGACGAAAATGCAGTGTGTAGAACGGTACAGAGCTGACATACAGCCATTACGTAAACGGTAAAACCCGCACATGAGGAAACACAAAGATCATCACCGTAACATTATCATACCTGACGAGAACCAGAGAGTTAGCAACCGTTGCATGTTCATTTCTACAGATTATATGAGGAGGCAAATGTCCGAGAGCCATGCACCATACATTTGCCTGTGGTATGTGCTTTCTTCCCTTCATCTAGTTCCACCATCAGCTTTGATGCGGCAGTTTCGATATTCGATCCGCCTTATAAGAGGTGGCCACGGGGAGATTTTCATCCGATTACCTTATCCTCACTGAGTGAATCCTAAAGAGTGGCAGCGAGGCAGGAAATGGGCTCTCGAGAATACGCCATTGAAAGGAACCGTTTGGAAATCCAAATACAAAATCAGTCTAGGACTGATAAAAAAAAGTGAGAAAACGAGCCATTTAACGAGATGACGAGAAATTAAAGAGTTGAGAAATATCAGGCAACAATCCTACAAGTGTGAGAAATATGAACGCAGCGACTTTTCATTATTCGCAATATAAAATACGTGGCCGCATTATTTGTGTATTTCGCTTTGATTCATCTCGTTCCACTTCAGGTCACCTCAAAAGTAATAACGGAGATGAAAGGCTGCAGGCAGCGCCTCGCCATAGTTGCATCTTCCATTTCATTTTTCTCAGCTGCCTCGGAATTCGGTGGCAGCCGGGAATGAAGCATCAGATTTTGCCGTGCAAATGGATGAATAAAAGATGAAAAGAAACATCCCACCGCTTCCAGCACGGCGGCGCGTTTTATTCTATTACAGTTGACGGGTTGGCCGTCCGCTCTGACCTCCCAGTTTGACCACAGACCAATCAACCGCATCTGATTCTCTGAATGGAGCAATCATCCGGCACCGGGTCGACGGCCAACTCCTCGCAAAGTTCCGGCGAACTCGCCGCCGTGAGCCATGACGGACGACGATCATCCGACCTGACCCGGGTAGCCGGGGTCAAATCCCGGCCTCCGCCGCCGCCGACAGAGAAGTGCGCGCTCTTGGGTCGCACCCCGCCACTGCCGGCTCGCTTTAAGGTCCGAGTCCGACCTCCGCCGCTGCTGCCAGGGGATTAGCGCGGCTTTGCGAAAAGGCGCCCGGCTGGGCGTTAGAAGCGGGCAGGCTCTAGGAAAACAGGCAGTCTGTTGTGCTATGCCCAGGCGCGGATAGGCGCGGGATCATGGGATATGAGGCGGAGATCTGCCTTGTGTGACGGAGAGTGTTCAGTGTATGAGGAACATCATGGTAATGTATGCATGTCGAAGGTATCCGTTCAAACATTAATAAATAATGGAACAGAATTTAAATATATTTTTGAAGGGTGACATAACAATAGGTACTTGTGGAAGATTTACTTAAAGGTAGTGTGCCAGCTTTCCTGGACCGTATGGAGTTAATGGCCCAGATAAGGAGAACCGGATTTTTAGAACTTATCCATACCTTCAAAACTCATGGAAACGTCTTAAATTCTTCAAATTTTGAGTACCCCAGTGCGAAATTCGCCCCGACGGGTTGTCGGTCGTACCCCAACCACATTTCACACCACTATGAACAATAAATGCACACACTGAAATCGCTATTACCGATATGCTCATCCAATCAAGTTTCGATAAACCCGTTCATCATCATCTCCTGCGGTTTCGAACACGCCTGTTAGGTGGTGCGGTAGACCGCGCCCAAAGCCAGGGCCCCGGTAACGTGAGGTAGCCGAGTCGGGGCAGCGTGCGCTGACCCAAGCCGGGGCCGCGCGTCCTCCCGGTGTCATGTGATAGCCCGGGGCTGCCCGCGGGGATGCGGTAGACCGCGCCCAAAGCTGCGGCCCCGGCTTGGGTCAGCGCACGCTGCCCCGACTCGGCTACCTCACGGTACCGGGGCCCTGGCTTTGGGCGCGGCTTCTGCTCATACTTTGTGGTGCGGTGGTGGTGCGTCGGGCCGCGCGCTCTGACTTCGGCCAAGAAAAATGCGTCAGCTGATCATTGTCATTTCTGCCACTTGCGTGTGGTGAAATGGGGTCATAACTTAAGAGACGGCTTTTTCATATCAATTATTTTACATAAAATCATATTTCAAACCATAAATAATGTTCGACAGCCAAATAAAAGAAACAATACCAATACAGGCTTACAGTTTAAGGCTCGACATTGTGTTGTCTACGATTAAACAGCTGATAACTCATTCCCGTACGTCGTAACTCTATAATGACCTTTGCTTATTGTCACATGTGCGCCGCATTCGCGATTGTTGCCGACGCCTGTTTGCAGGTCAGCCCACTACAGTTGTTATACATAACGAAAAACCGATAAACTTTTAGGCGAAAAAGGCACTATTCCAGGCCCATTTTTGATTTTCTTTGCGATATTAGGTAAAAACAGAAGCTTCTTATCCTAGGAAAAATAAAATGGGAAATCTTTCAAAGGTGGCACACTACCTTTAAAGACGCTTCAGCTCGGATTTCCGTATAAAATGTCTAACAATCAGTGTTTCGCTGAACACATTGTTAATTACGGTTCATCAGCCTCATTCGTGCAAGCTCAAGTGGTCTTTTGCTTCCTGTTCTTTTGAACTCTAGCACGGCGTAGGTACTATCAGGTGACATCAATTACGGTTATAACGGCTGCCTGCGGGTTTTCTTCCACCCGACTTCAGTTGATATTAGATGAACCGGACACCCCAGTGGCCACAGGTGGCGGACGAAACGAGCACAAATATAGCGTCCGCACAAGAAACGTGCGGTTGAGAAATATCAACCGCCCACGACATCCGAGCTATATCTGTGGCAAAACAGACATCTATTGTCGGATGTTGTGAGTATGATATGCCTCCGAGCTTCATATCAAGTATTAGGCCGATGGCTAAAAATAATTATGATAAGATTCAATCGTGGTATCGACCGTGTAAACTGAGACCTGCGTTGTCAGATGTCGCTGTTATAAACGCAGTGCTCGGATTGCCATGCGTCGATGGAGCAGCGATGGCTAAAACAGCAACAATCCGGAATGGCAAAACGGCTTACTAATTATTTGTGTACGATCACCGAACCATGCTGTCCCACGGACAACGCGCCGATACCGGCCAAATGCCGACAAAACCACCGAATCGATCAGACCTTTTTGCGACACCGACCATTAGCTGGTAGAATCCTTCATCCACCGATCGCCGACTATAATCAAAACAGCGCGCGGCCGACTCACCCACGCATGCCTGGCTACCCGAGCATCTCGGGACGCGGATAAATTGATTTTCCACGTCGGTACGAACGCAGAGAAAAGCAAATCCAACTCCCACAGACCAACCGCACGGCGTGCTGATGTCCCATCGATCGGACCCAGATCGGAGGTGCCACTTATGATGACCCGATCACAGATTGGAGGTGCCACTTACGACGGACCGGTTTGAGATAGGAGCTGCCACTTACGATGAACCGAGCCAGATTGAAGGTGTTATTCACAATGTCCTTGTTTCAAGTCTAGGCTGCTACTTACCACCAGTATAACGCCTTTTGGGGCGAGTAACGGAGCGAGCGAGAGGGTGAGCCTTGCACGTGCGAAATTTCGAGGGGGTACCTCCAACTGACTTGTGCACGGCACCCTACTAACCAGACTCTAGCGATGTGCCAAATTTGAGCACAATCGGCCCAGCCGTTCTCGAGATTTGGAAGCGGCACCCTGCACGTGCGCACGTGCAAAATGGGTCCCAACTGACTTGTGCACGGCACCCTACTAACTGGTCCCTAACCGTGTACCAAATTTGAGCGCCATCGGTCCAGCCGTTCTCGAGATCTGGAAACGACCCCTGCACGTGCGCACGTGCAGCAACACCCCAACTCTGGCACATGGATATGCAGTGCCTAGTGGGTGCCTACCTACATGCCAACTTCCAGCGCAATCGGCCAAGTAGTTACCGAGATATTGCAACAATTACAAAACTGACACCTCTTCGTTTTGCACGTGGCACGTGCATAAGGGGTCACCCACATGCATTGGGAATAGTCCAATACTTGGTAGAAGGAATGAAGCTACCCTACAAAAATTACCGCATGTAAATCGGTCAAGTGGTTGCTGAGATATAAGCCTCGCAAAAGCGTCCGCACGGCCGGCCGGCCGGCCGGCCGGCCGCTCATACTCAGAAATTTCCGTTAATCTAAGGAAAGACTCCGCTCGCTTCGCTCGCTCCGTAACGAACGAGCCTCAAATGAGAGGTGCTTTCTTACCATGAGATGGTCTAAGACAAATTTTGCCGCTAGTCTACAGATGCAATTAACGATAAAAGGTCCCAGATTAAAAGCGCCTTTTACAATAATTCCACCTAAAGGAGGTGCTACTTACAACGACCCTGCCCCTGAAGCGCAAGAGCGTCAGGTCGGTCGCCAGATTCACGTTGGCCAGCATCTCCAGGATTACGTCAACTCCTCCATTGGACGCTGCCAGAATTTCCTGGGTGTAACCGGGCCTGAAACATAAAACAGGAATGATATGCATTAGAAGGTAGTGGTTGCTGTATCGGTTGCTTAGTTTAATGCAGCTACGTTTGCAGCTAGAGAGATCATTACGGCAAAAGAAAACATTCAGTTCCCAAATTAATTCCCTGCTGCTTCAGAACTTTAGCACGGACGCATCATGTCTACCTACGTCCTGTGGTTGAAGACGTGCTCGGCTCCCTGTTCCTTGACGAGCTTCATTCCCTCCTCGGTACCAGCTGTTCCCATTACCAGCATACCTGCAACAGAAGCCGGCAGGCTATCACAGCTGGCCGATATTTAAGACAACAAAAGCAAGCACGGAAATCAATCGTGATGCTACCACTTCAACGAAAAAAAAACAGCATACTCACACCCAGACCTGAACCAATCTGAATCGCCATCCAAGTCTCTCGACCAAAACCGGTCGATCCGACCCAGCCCCTGCCCTCCCTACATGTCTCGGAGTTGATCCCATCCCGTTTCCAGTCCGTGCCAACACAAACATATCCGCTGCCGGAGCGGCCCCCTTGGTCGTCACCGCCTTCCCGCGGCGGGACCCGGCGACATTTCCGCAGTCAGAGCCGTCCGCCCGACGCCGCCGCCACCGCCGCCGCGCCTCTTATCGCGCGGATAGATGGCGACTTTTATGGCGGCGAAATACCAATAGAGCCGGCCGGCGCGCGTGTTGACAATGCTCCCGGTTTGGAACGGTGGTGGGCCAGAGCGCAGGTCAGCGCTAATGGGAAATCACGAGCGACGTTTGCACCATCGGGGAATGGCCGACGCTTAAGTAAATGGGCACTGAATAGTTGATAGTAGTCGTGTTGAAACCTTTGTAAGTTAAAAAGGTTTCGCCACGAATACCGACCACACAACAATACGACACTGGTTACAAATTATAGCCAGTATATTCTCCCAAAAATCACACCACTCTCGCTCTCTTCCCTCCTCCCCTTCTGGTCAGTTACCCCGACAGTACGAGCTCAAGCATCTCGTGTGGTGAGTCCAGACTCGTACCAACGTTAGTGCCATGTCTAAGATGTAAGGCTCGTATGTGACGAACGTGTGAGTTATGTAGAGTAGATCAGGCACCCCGTCCCCGCAATCACGGTGACTATAAATACCCGCAATGAGACCCATACCATGGTGTCTGGCGATCTGCACCGCGGCCAGGCCGACTGCTCCGCTGGCTCCATGGACAAGCACCCGACTGCCGCGGCCGGCGGCGGCCCTGTCGGCAGAACAAAGCGAGGTCATATGGGGTGACAGGGGAAACATGGGGCTAGTCACGGGAAACACCGGCAGGGAGAGGGGTGCTGGGGAGTTCGTTACCAGCCTCGACCGTTTGTGAGAGGGAGATTCGACATTACATCTGGTTAAATAAAGAGCAGACGCATAACGACCATGACTCCAGAGGTGATCAATGAGGGTGGGTGAGAAGTTCAGAGTCACAGTCACATCCACTCGATTCCAGGAATCGCCGCAACGGCATTTGTCCGCGCTTTACACTAATCACTATCCCCCATCCTCGCCTCTAGCCTGCTCATCACTCGGCTAGAGTGGTTGCCATTTAACTGAAGTCGCAGAGTCTCTGAAATTCGCCTGTGCACTGTTTACAAGCCCCTGAAAAGTAATCTTAAGTTCAGAGCATAAAAATCGCCGCAGTACTCCAGTTTGTGACGCTAGTCACAAAGGTTTAATAAAACCGTCTACCAGCCTCAAATAAATACAGAACTTCCTTAAAATCCTGCTGTTGACAACGCACCGCTCGCAAACCATGCTGAATACCATCCGCAGAGCCATCTAGCGAGACAGGTGACAAACAGTGCAGCTCACCGCACACTCTTATTCGCCAGCAAGATAACAAATGAGTGATGAGCATTAGGGATGGGTTAAGTATGGAGTTTGTTACTACGCCCTGCAAGCCAGTAAAATAGATGCCACATCAAACCAGCCCATGTAAACGTTGTCCCTTGTCCGTTACCCTTAGCTATCGTCGTGCCAGGTCCGTTCCCCTCGTTTCACATCGGCTACCCAGGTAGCACGCCGCGCCCTGCCCGCTACTCTCGTCCCACGCCGGTTACCTCTGCATGAGCGCGTGCCATGCGGTGAAGTAGGGGATGCCGACGCCGGCGCCCTGCTGGAACGTGAGCCGGTCGGGCAGCGCTCGCACGCACGAGGACGGTGCCACCGTACAGCTGGCGTAGGTGCCCGAGGGGCCGCCGTCCGGGCCGCGGCACAGGAACACGCGCTGGCCCACCTGGTCGGACATGAGGCAAGGGAGTTTGTCTTCGATCCATAAAAATAAAGACGTTCTGCGTGCCAGCAAGTAACTGTCTTTCTGCTTTACCAGTCTGGCTAACACCCTGCAAGGTAAGAGGATGTTTAAATAGGTACAATTTCAATCGATTAGTAACTTCTGCCCACCATGAAACACGAACAATCATGACAGTCACTGACCTGAAGCCCGTTGACGTCCTCTCCGACCTGGAGCACCTTTCCGGCTCCGTCCGAGCCGGGGATGTAGGGCAGCGGGTGCTCGCGCGTCCCGGCTCGGATGTACGTCTCCACGGGGTTCACACCGACGCTGGCGATACCGACCAGCACCTGCCGAGCACGGGAACACGCGACTCAAACGCTGGGGCGCTTCGTTTGCAGAGCGGGGCCAAAGCGGTATACATGTGCCGAGTGTGGCGGAAGATGGTTGACTTGAAGCAAAAAAAAAGACATGGCATGTTCATTTGTTCAAATGTTCAAAGCGGCTAATCGCAGTACGGGAGTACGGCTAACTGCTCACCTGGTTAGGCGCTGTGATTTCAGGCGCAGCTACTTCGGCCGAGTATTTGAGCACTTCCGGTCCACCGAACTCGAACACCTGGATAGCCCTCATGATGCGCCTCACTGCTGCCTGCAAGAGAGGCAAGTGGTTAGTTATCAGATTACTTTGCTACTCATTAGGTAGGCACCCAAATACAGAAGCTAAAACGATTTGTGAATATAATGACATGCATTAGAATGCAATTCAGCGTGATAATCTTTCATTAGCATGCGTTGAACATCAGCGAAGAGTCATTGCAAGTGACTGGAGTAATATGCGTCGAACTAAGATCACACACGGCATACCAAGCGGGATCAAAGCACTCCAAACGAAGATAAAGTAGGCAATTCGGGTCCCTTTAGTAACAGACACCCAGAGCGCTGACCGGAGGTAGCAGCACCACTACACTATTCAGCTACCTACCGGACCACGTGCGTGGCCAAACGTAGTAGGTACTCCTGCCACCATACGTGTCTGTCACCTCTCTCAGCCGCCGACACCTCTAAGCCGCCCACTGCTGCCCCTGTGCGCGTGCGGTGAAGGTCGCCACCCACCGGTCCCAGGCAGCGGGCACACAGAACCCTCAGTTTCCCCGCCCACTGTCCTTTGGAACCAGAGTTATACGCTGGGGACGGCCGAGCAGAGAGGCTCTTCTCGAGTGGACCCGGCGGCCCACACAATGTCACAACTCCACAACAGATGGAAGACTGTAATGTTTGGACCATGAGACGGCCGAAATGTGGCCAATTTACAGTAATGTATGTCGCATTGTCGCCAAATATTAGGCATAGGACGGCTGAAATTAGCCATGCCATGTGATAGAAGACCTCACAAACGTTTCAAGCCGGGCGTCCCTGTAACCATTGCGCCACGGAAATATAAAGAGCAGAGCAGGCGTGGTTTGAGAATGGTCAGCAAAATATGACTTTACGTACAATGATCACTAGAAAAAGTAATTATGTGCAATGATCATTAGAAGAAGTAATTATTGTTAAATATCCTTCTCGCATAATAGTTCTGGAACTGTTCGTTTTACCCAACATTTAACTTTTTCTTTTATCATTTATTTCATGTCATTATTTCACCATCAAAGACACGGTGCAAGACAGCGAACATCTCACCTTTAATTGTTATAAGTCAAGTAAAAAAAAAAAAAAAAACGGGGTCACGTATCAATACCAGGAAAAACTATCCACAGAACAGACTAGGCTGTTGTGTCCAGGGGAAGCCAACTTGGACATGGCAAAACTGGAGATGGCAGCAGAAAAATTGAAGTCTGACGTTAGCACGATGTGACGACTGACAGTGTTGTAAAATCAACTGGTTTTTAATACGCGCCACGCCAACTAAAAAGACAGCGACATCTGGCATCACGCGCTTGGGTTCCTTTGAAAGCAGCTGGATGACGAGGAGCGGTAACAAGCTTTACACACTAATCGGACTTGCACTCAGATCTCAAACTCACGCACAGATACCGAGACGGACGATTCAAAATACGACAAAACAAACGTCTCAGAATTATTACTCTCTCATACCTCGCACAAAATCCGACCTCCCCCTCCCTTTTCTCACCCACATCCCCAGCATTCAGAGATCGCCCTTGTCTTTCCTCCGCTTGCCCTTGGCGTCCGCCTGCCGCCGCCGCTTGTTCATCTCATTCCGCGGGTCGTAGATGTCGTACCAGTCGTCCGCCTTGGTGCTGGCGTCCTTGGCCAGGGTCGGGTCGTTGGCGGTGAAGTGCAGCTCGTGCGTTAGCCACGAGTCGTCATTCACGTCCTCGGCGTCGTCGCCACCGGCCGTAGTCTCCTGTGGCGCGTCCACATGCTCCTCCTTGGCGCGATGCAGCTTGTTCTTGAACTTCTCCAGGAGCGCCATCGTCTGTGCCTCGCGGGAGGACGCGCCGCGCTTCGGCAGCTGCTTCTTCTTTTCCTCGAACTCAGCCTTTTGCTGTTTGTACTCCTTGATGGCGTCGTTCTCAGGCTCCTCTTTCTTTGCAGCAACAGCATCCGCTTTCACCGCCGCTTGCTTCCTCTTCAGCATCTGGTTTTTCAATTCTTCGAATTCGGCCTTCGCTTCAGCTACTTGAGCCTTCTTCTTCTCATCGTCGCCCTGGAAAAGTCGATAATTGTCTGGTTTCTCCTCCTCTGCCTCACTCTTTTTTAATTTCTTCCGTAAGTTCTCCATGTTGACGGTTTCCTCCGGCTCTGAGGTGCGTTTCGAGTTCCGAGCCGTTTCTGGCACGGCCGGGGCAGAGCTCAGCTTGGGATCGTCCGTGAGGTCATGTGACGACTTGGACTTGCCCGAGAACTTTTTGGTGGCCTCGATCGTTTCATCCTCATCTTCTTCTGCCTCGTCTCCAAATGAGAGCAGCTTGAAGTTCTTCGTAGCCTTCGACTTGCTCTTTGGTTTCGCTTCTTTCTTCTCGGCCTCGGATGGTTCGGCTTTCCGGCGAGGAATTACGTCAAACGGATCCAATAGTACCTCCGTGCGGATGATCTTGTGTGGATACTTCGGCCGATCATCCTCAATATCTCCCTCCTCGAACTTCAGCATGTTATACAGTGTATTTCCCGCCACCTTGCCGAAAATTGTGTGTTTGTTCTGCAGCTCTGGCGTCGCCGCCAGCGTGAAGAAGAACTGCGAGCCGTTGTCGTCCTTGCCGGCGTTGGCCATCGCCAGCAGGCCGCGCCGCGAGAAGCGCAGTCGCGAGTGGAACTCGTCTTTGAACGGGTGTCCGTATATGGACTCGCCGCCCTCGCCGGTGCCGGTCGGGTCGCCGCCCTGCACGATGAACCCGCGCACCACGCGGTGGAACGGCGTCCCATCGTAGTATCCCTCCATGCACAGCTGGATGAAGTTGCGGCACGCGCGCGGCGCCTCCTTTCCCCATAGTTCGAGGTCCAGGTCACCGACAGTGGTCTCAAGCAGCACCTTGGCGTTTGTGGGCGGCTCTTGAATGTAGATGTTGCTCATGGCTGCCGATTAGGGCCCTCTCTTGCACGGCTCACACCTGGGGCAGGAAGATGGCCGTCACACTGCTGTCGTGTTCAAGAGCTTGCAGATGGCATTTTCGATCAATGGCGAGAAATATTTGATGAATCGGTGATCCTGGGGTAACAAAACCATTCTGTTTCTTGTTGAGGAATTCGAAAGGTGCCGCAGACCCATCGACTGAGAAGCCTCTTTTCCCAATTACCAATTGGACAAGGAGGGGCAAGGTGAACTTGAAGACTGGAACAAGGAGAAACTACTTAGCTTCTGGACACTACCCAGCTGAATCCCAAGGACCTGAATATCATTCCTAAAATATGGTTATTCTGACTAAATATTATCAGTTTTCAAAGTGCTGAGGAACTATGAGGGTTTCCTAAACTATGAGGGCTTCCTGTAATATGGTGCAGACTGCAGATGATGGTGAAGTGGTGTAAATTTTGGAAAGGGCAATAAGACAGAGCTGCAGTAATCAATCAATCAATCAGCAAAACATGTTTCACAGCATGCATATTGCATGGACAGTACTAAGCCATGCTCACAAAATCCAGATACACTTTATATAATTTCAATGCTGGAATAAATTAAGTGACAAAAAATCAGCTCTCACAAAGAAAATTATGTGTAAGCATAGGCCTCACACCCCTGATCCAGGCTGGACAGTCCTTGCCATCTGACATGAAAAGCTCCTCAGGATCATGCTCAGGTGCTGCGAGGTTGAGGTGACCATTGTCCACTGGCAGGGCTGGGTTGGGGTGGTGGGTGGTCTGTCCATACTCCAGACTCAGTCTCAGCCCTGGCCCTGGCCCTGGCAGCACACCAGAGGTACAACCCAGACCAAACGTCTCCTCTATTTCAGTAACAAAGACAATCCTTCATCCACTCTACTTTTGCAGCTTCTGCAATGGGTCAATCAAGGCTATGACAATTGACAACTGACAAGTCAGGTTAGGTTAAGTTTAAGTTTTGTCATGTTAATTGTTAATAACATTTTTTCTAGTTCAAAAAAGCCAGACAATTATTTGTCCAGACTTATATTACTCATAGGATCATAGAATCCTTACTTCCTCACAATTCCTCCACGGCAGGGGCTCTGTCCTGGAGGCGTTGGGCCCTGAATCACCCCACGGGTTGCCCTAGACCCCCCGTATCAGCTTAGTTCCATGATGTAGCCTAATGAATGACAGTGTGCATCTTTGGGTCAGGCCCCAAATCCTGAAACTGTGGCAGAGTGAGATCCATTGCTCAACAGTCTTAAGGGTCTGAGTCCAAAATTGCATAAGCCCACAAAACTAGCTTCATGACAGTTGACACAGAAAATAGCTTTCAATTGCAAGATGAGATACATCCACCATCCCACATCATCGTCTGATGATTTTATGGTCCTAAAAATCGACGGCACAATACGTACTCACTACTCACCATTCGTCTTCTGAAACAAAATAAAAAGTACAATCAGTATAATGGCTCCACACGAGGTGGTGGTCGTCGCTTGTTTCACTTTTTCGTGTTCACAAATTTAGATGCTCACCGCAAACCGTGAACACGAATCTTCTTGGGTAGCGAATCATAGGCTGTAAGACCCAGTACTACCTTATCATTGGCTCAAATACCCGTAATCAGCCTGCATCAACACCATATTCTATTATTCATGAACATTACAATACTCAAGGCCCTATATACCAGGTAGGGTCGTCCGGCGATTCTACCTTTTCGTGACGTCAGCTCGTGACGTCATTTGGAGTCAAGTCTCGAAGCCCCGTTCAATCCCCATGTAAATGAGCGATTTTCGAAGCACTGTAGAATGAAGTCTGCACAAGATATATCAAACCTAAGTATCTTATCTGAAAGAGCAGACAATTTTCTGCAAGTTATCTATAACGTGTTTTTCGCTAAATCTTTTGCTTTTTTCACAAAAGCGTAAAATGTCTCCCCATGTCTCCGCAGCCTCCCTGCCGCCGGCCGCCGCGCGGTCGCGGTAGTGTAGTGGTTAGCGTGCCCGCGCAGTATTCCAAAGGTCCCGAGTTCGAATCTATGCGGTGCGGAACTTTAATTGCAATTTCAAGCTGAATATAGGCACATCCATAATAAATTATTATTCGTATAGCTAAACTGTCACCAAGCTATCCATATAAATTGACTTCACCCAAAATATCGGCAAGATTCTATTAAAATACAAATTCAAATATGGCGGCTTGGACTGCCGCGTGCGTTAGGCTCCGCCCATAGCTCCGCCCACATGCGTGACGTCATTCGTGTTAGTGGACACGCAGAGAGATAGGGGACGACATAGGCCTGCCCAATACTTGACAGCCCATTAGCGTTATGTAAATCAATTTATCTCGTCGGTTGATGACGTCGAGTTCTTTTAGTTTTTGTTGTGTCAATTTTCAACATTTTTTTCTAGATTTCATTCAAAAGTAATGTGAACAAGAAATTACCTAATTCTTTATAAAGTATACTTCTTTGTGTTGTTGTAAGAAGGACTTATAGGAAAGGAATCGCTCATTTATCTGACGTCATTGAAAGTGTGATAGCTTTTTTCTGATGTTTTTGGCGATTCCTTGACACATAAGCCCTTGTGTAAACACGCGCACACCGCGCGTGCCGGGTTTCGTTACCGTGCTGGGTTAGTACAAAAACGTGTTTTTACGTTTACCACCACAGTGTATATAAATACACTGTGTTTAGGTCAAGGCCATATATAGTTTACCACTATATATGGCCTTGAGTTTACCTTACCTTACGGTAATTCGGTTGTAGCAGGCCAAAGACAAGCAGAACAAGAAGGTCACAGAGACGTTTTTCCACAAATCATCATTCTACTGCCTGTCTGGGTAAATGTCAAGTTTAAGTGTGTAGTGTGTGGGGATCGAGCGGTTGATTGCCACCATTTGCCACCTATCCAGAGTCCGAAAAGTTTTAAATTTTGCCGCTTGTCTGATCACAGGTTTAGGGCGCTGTGAACACATCACGCCCCTTCCACAGGTCTGCTATTGCCTGTGTCATGAGGGTTGGTATCACAAGTCCAGCACACTTCACAATTGTGTTATGATCCTTGTCTTTCTTCTGTTTTTCAGATAAACAGCACAAGAGCTAAATATGGCAGATGGTGGGGCAGGAAACTGGTGCCTGATTGAAAGTGACCCAGGTGTCTTCACTGAACTCATCCGTGAATTCGGTATGGGCTTTCTGACCTGACTTGTGTAATCCAAGATGTGTAATCCTTCAGTATTTATTCTTTCATACTCTTCATGGACTCACTGCTCATCAGTAACCAATCCAGACAACTCAAAATGAATGTGAAGATAAATTAATGAAAATTGATTAAATATTTTGCTGAATTATTTTAAGTGTATTGTAAGTGTTGGTTACGACTGTTCTGACAATTTCAGGTGTGAAAGGTGCGCAGGTGGAGGAGGTATGGAGCATGGATGATGAAATGTTCTCCAAGTTGAGGTCAGTAACAAGTATCTGATCCAGTCTGATCATCTGATTCCATGGCAATTGGCATTGCAAGCGTGTGGAAGGTATCTATCAGAACATGTACCTCTGTTGTGACTGAATAATGAATTAAGGCAATGTTTCTCCAACTGATGTAGGATTATGCAGGTGACACATAGGTGCCACACTATGCAGTTAGGTACTATCATCTCATTGCAGCTTACAATTGGTGCTACAGAGTTGAGTGTTTATACCTACCTAACCAAAGTCAATATCACAATACTGAGACAGACAAACGTGATGTGGACAGGCCTGTGCACGGACTCGTCTTTCTCTTCAAATGGGTGCCTGACTCGACTGTGGAGGGCACGCCGGTCCAGGACAGCAGGCTCGACAACATCTTCTTCGCCAAACAGGTATGTGGATCCTCGTGCGTGAACGATGTGTCGTTAAATTGCTGCATCGTAATCTCGACATCGACGCGCCCTGAAACCCCATCAGACAAACAAACAATTGAAGCCCTGTCATGTTTGATGCATGGCAGAGCTTAGCTTCCAAGTATGGACTGATTTTAGCCCACCGATCCCTCGACCTCCGTAATCCGTCGGAAACCGAAAGCACCCCACGCACGTGACATCTGTGATCTGACACCGCTCTCTACCGCCCCCCTCACCAGGTGATCAACAACGCGTGCGCCACCCAGGCGATTCTCAGCGTGCTGATGAACACCAACCACCCGGACGTGGAGCTGAGCTCGACGCTGACCGAGCTGCGCGACTTCACCGCCGGCTTCGACCCGGCCACGCGCGGCCTGGCGCTCAGCAACTCGGATGTCATCAGGACCGTGCACAACTCGTTCGCCAGGTGAGCGGAGTGTGCGGGAGTTTTACATTTATTGAGTGGGAGACTGGGGAATCGGACTTCAGAGTGGGGTTCGCGGTGGAGGGCTTTGTGAGGATATGAGGAGGGCCACAGAGGGGTCGAGGGAAATGGGCAATGTTATCAGGGTATTCCTGATGAATGTGGGTTTTGCGAGAACAACACTGTTTGGTGACAGCTTTGGGCGACTAAGCTCATGCAGATGAAGCTGTTTTATCATTTTTTTTAAAAATGATAATTCATGACAACATAATTTTCCATGTAACCATGCCAATTCACTAGCGTGCGCTCTACCTGTCGGTCTTGCCCCGTTTCGTGATCTGTCAGACAGCTCGATAACCGCCAGTCTCGCCCCGCTCGCGATCTGTCAGACAGTTTGATAACCGCCAGTCTAGGCCTAACTCTCCGCTCCTGATCCGTCAGACACTCCCCAGCCGCCGGCCTTACCCCGCTCCTGTTCCGTCAGACAGACGCTGTTCGAGCTGGATAACCGGGCGGCCACCAAGGACGACGACGTCTACCACTTTGTCAGCTACATCCCGCTGTCGGGACGGCTGTACGAGCTGGACGGGCTCAAGGAGGCGCCGCTGGACCACGGGCCCATTCCGGAGGGCGCCGACTGGACGCAGGCCGCCCGGCCCATCATCGAGAAACGCATGCAAAAGTGAGGAACGGAGGGCCGGTCGGGGAAAGATGGGTCATATTTCCGGGGAACAGTTGGATCGAGCGAGAATGAGTGTGATTGATTGTTGGGATGTGTTATGGTACGGTGTGAAAAAGTATCGATGCAACAGTGTCGTGGCAGCCAATATGTGAGGAATGCCCGAATGCCGTACTATCGGGAACTATTTTCGATTCAGCGATTTTTGGTTCGTGTGATATAGTATATCAGTCAACCATCTCAGGCGTGTATCTCACAGCATGCTTATCTTTGCCACTTTTCCCGGCGTTCTAAGTGTGAGTACCTTCACCGCAGCTGTGGTACTTTTGTCCTCTCTTGTGACCGTGTGTCGCTGTCCCGTCAGGTACAGCGAGGGCGAGATCCGGTTCAACCTGATGGCCATCATCTCAGACCGGCGCGCCATGTACCAGAAGCAGCTGGAGCAGCTGCAGGCCAAGGCGCAGGTCGGTGGAACATACGGGAACGGCAGAGCTGTTAAATGCCTACATAGACGCAGATCATCATACGCTGTGCCTTATAGAGGACGGGTGGCAGATTCGGAGACACATTTGGAGACTTGGCCGGGTTGCAAAAACATCACAATTTTTATGTTTTGAACACAGTCGGAGATGGCCCGTAATTATGGTCAGTCGTTACAGGAGGGCGGGATGGAGACGGACTCGATACAGTCGGAGATGGCCCGTAATTATACTGCTCTGTCGTTATAAGAGGGTGGGATGTCTCTGTCGTTAGTCGTTACAGGAGGGTGGGATGGAGACGGACTCGATACAGTCAGAGATGGCTCGTAGTGTATATCTGCTCTGTCGTTACAGGAGGGTGGGATGGAGACGGACTCGATACAGTCGGAGGTGGCCCGTAATACTGCTCTGGCGTTATAAGAGGGTGGGATGTCTCTGTCGTTAGTCGTTACAGGAGGGTGGGATGGAGACGGACTCGATACAGTCAGAGATGGCCCGTAGTGTATATCTGCTCTGTCGTTACAGGAAGGTGGGATGGAGACGGACTCGATACAGTCGGAGATGGCCCGGGTCCAGATGCTGATCTCAGACGAGGAGAAGAAGATGGAGAGGTATCGCACCGAGAACATCCGCCGAAAACACAACTACATACCGTTCATCATGGAGGTGAGCCGAAAATACGCGAGCTGAGCGGCCTACGCTCTGCCACGGACGCGCACAGGCTGAACTGCGCTGTAGCACACGTCAACTACAACAGCGGGCTTTTACTTTTTGTAGAGCTGCTGCTCTTGAAAATAGAAGAAGTCTGTAATAGGATTGCATTTGGCCAGCCACTTGCTCGAAGAGTTTTGTGTAAGAATGTCATGTCGTGCCGGCTTCCTCTAAACGCGCCCGAAAGTCTGTCTGAGACCGCTAAGCCCTAGTCTCACGTTTTCTGCTCGTTCCCAGCTGCTGAAGATCCTGGCCAAGGAGGGCAAGCTGGTGCAGCTGTACGAACAGGCCAAGGAGCGGTCCGAAAAGCTGCACCAGGCACGGAAGAAGCAGAAGACCAAGTAGTGCCCCCTCTCCGGACGAGTGCAATGACCGCCGAGCAGCTGCCTCAGTTCGCCACTGCCCCCGTGTGCCGCGCGCCGAGTGACAGACCATGCTACAGAGTGAACGACGCGGAACGATTCGCCAGACTGTTGAAATCAAATACACGTTACATTGTGTTGAATGCTTCGGCGTCTTAGGGAAGCGCGGGGACTGCAGGTTTGAGTGGTTTTGTTAGAAAATATTTAGTTTTTTGTGGTAACTAGGACTGCCAACGCCAAATCTATCGTAACTCGGCAATACTCAATGTTAAGGCGCGTTAGAACTTGGAAGGCACGTGTCCGATCATACCAAGAGGCAGCAGCGCTTACCCAGTGGGCTGTGAAATCGGAATGGACAAGTTGACGCTTCGCTGATATCATACACTAATATGCCAAACCATTACAGGTTTGCAGACAGCCAACAGTTACCAATCACGTTTGTATATATTAAGCGTCTCCGCCAGTTGCGGACATCGGCACAAACTTCTCGGACTAACATTGCGTCACAGGGGCTGATAACAAATCACATTGGTGCTCTCGCGGCCAGCATCGAGCCGCCTTCACACGGTGCAGCACATGGGGGCTCCCCACGCATCAACCGAGCGGCCCTCCGGCGGCTGTCGCACGTGGGGCACCCCGGGAGCTGAGCGCCCTTCGTCCCGGATCCCGCAGTCGGCGGCGGTCTGGTCCCAACAGGGTACCCTGTGCAGTGGGAGCCACTCGCTACAGGCAGGAGAGCTTTGGCACAGCGGCAAACGACGCCAGGCGCAGTCAAAACAGACACCAAGTGGTAGCCAACGGAGGCACTGTTGTTCAAAAATAAGGAAGTGTCCAGCGGATAGCGAATGTAAAGTTAAACGTTCAAGAAGGAAAGGTTCAAATATATAACTACGGGGGCGGTAGCGTCAAATATTTGATAATTAATGCATGCTCATGCCAGGCATTTTGATCAAATTAACACAAGGTCACGTTTTAAATTTCAATATACACAACAATCACCACCTGATAACACAGCAAAACTCATGCGAGCTATGCGAAACGTCACGCATAAAATTCTTATGTACAAAGAAAATGTGCAATATGAATGACCACAAAAAACTCTAGTAACCTGCCTTATCAACTATTTGGACTTTGAATGAGAACTATAATGACAATCCAATTGAGCTACAAGTTACATATTAAATAATAAAATGGCGTTGGCCACATTACGTCAACTATAAAATTTTAAAATTAGGTGTTTAAATATTACAAGTTAAAAAGCATTATAAATAGATAGGAAAGTTGCCTTTTCAGGCAATTGTCCAGCGCAATGTATGCAGCGATACCAAAACTACCCTGTTCTGCCGCATATTATCTGAACACGATTAATCTAAAACTCCACAATGCCCTCCTATCGGTCATATCACGCATTAGGCGACGAGTGATAACTGGAAGACGTCTTCCCCGATCCTGCCGCCCGCCGAGCGCGACGCCCACAGCGTGGGCAAGGCTGAAAACACAAGCACGCGACAAAACTTTCCGGACGCCCCTCAACACGGCGACAAACGGCAGTCTTCAGCAGCAGACCCGAGTCACTCGTGTTACACTGATGTGGCCGCTCTGTCGAACGCTTTGAGCGTTCTCTAGTAGGCTTGCTCCGTTTGATTGACGGATGTCATTGAATGCCATCAGCGGCCGAGCCACTGAAATCATTGCACAGGTCCGGAGGAGCCCTGGCCACGCCGATCGCGTTAGGAACGATTGTGTTGCACAGCTGTCAGCGTGGCAGCACCGTTCCGAATGCCATTTCACAGCTGAGAGTCCCCGGGGCCGCATCCGTCCGCCGTGGGCCATCCACCTGCAGGAATGTCCCAGTGGAGACCATTTCATGGGTGCCGACAACAGTCAGCGCTGGCCGCTACTGGGCCTCTCTCCTCTCGATGTGAGAACAATGAACAGCCACGGAGCAACAACTAACAACGGGCCCTGCCCAGCTTCAAAGGACGGTTTAGACTCCCAGCTCGCCTCAGAGAGACAGCCCGGCGCCTCGTCAACTACTTGGGTTTGTTGGGTCGAATCTTCTCGTAGTGGTAGGCGCGAGGCCTGGGCCGCAGCCGGCCGCCGGGAGCCGCCACCATCGTCTTCTGTTTGACAAAGTTGAACTGCTGCTCGGCGAACCCATAGAACTCGCTCTCCACCTTCCACACGGCCGAGGCCTGGATGGTCGCCTTCGTCTCCGGCGACGGCTCCAGCTTCCGCTGCGTCTTGCGCAGGTGCGACTTTCCACCTGCACGGAGCATCAAACGGTGAGTCAATAAAGGTCAACAAGTGACGTAGATTTAGCATAAACGACTCGGATACTCACATAAACATCGAAATATCGGTGAATCAGCGGGGTTCATTTTCAGCATGACCATCCATTGAGCTGAAGATAGTCGAATCCATGGTAGAGCATCCACCAACTCAGTCAAATGCCACACCGATCGCGCACGGTTTGTTATTACCAAGCAGACACCAATTACTGATTGAACGGCCTCCTCCACGCTTGAAAACCATTTCGAATATTCCAGCGGCTCACAATTCCGTACCTTTCTCGAGTGCGCGGCTGGCACCGGAGAACATGCTGGGCATCAGCGCCTCCAGCAGGGCCACAAACTCTGGCAGTCGCTCAGTGGTGCCCACCAGTAGGTAGTGGTGCACCAGGTTATGTTTCGCGGCCTCTAGGGCCTGCCGGCTGCCCGGCTCCCTGCGGGGGTCAATAAGTCAGCGTGGAACAGCTAGGCGAGACAGAATACAGTATGCACATAGACGTTTATCGGGCGACTGGCCGGGGATATTGATATCAGTGGTTAGTTGGTAAATATTGGAGCAGTGGCGCCTTGATGGGGACCATTATGTGACCAGCTATGTATCTAGAGTAGACTTAGCATCATTATCAAACAGAGCACTCGTATGAGATGATACCACTCAGACGGTCCCACGCTGATCACAGCGGGATGCTCACCAGCAGAATGCCGCCATACCGCAGAAGAAGGGCACTTGGATCCACATTAGCCGCGGCTGGCAGTCCGAGTGGTTCAGACGCACACAGTCGTCAAATGTCTGCAAACAGGCGGAATACGCCGCAAAGTCAGCAAAATGACGTTTGATTTGAAAGATAAGACAAAACCAAAAGAAAAATCAGAGACACAAGACGAAATAATACAATGACTGGCGAATGAGCCGACAGATACGTAGCATGTGATATGGACTGCCGTTGGGTGAGACAAGCAATACCGGCCCGCCGCTACGGCACCATCTACGGCTCTACGGGAAAAAATCATCCAGTCCTCCAAAACAGTCGTAAATATCTTTAGTCGGTCTCATCGTTCATCTCATTTCGTCACCAGCCGGGTGCCGTCCCTAACAAGAGACGGATACGACACCGACCCGCTGGGCGCGACTATCTGTCCCAGACTACATTTAGAGTCGGAGGGCGGCGGTGCATAACTGACATAAACAGACCGACCGGGCGGGGTCGGCAAAGGTCACAGAGCGCACGGAACAGCCGGCGGCGGGGGATGAAAGGAGACCGTGCAGTGGGCGTGTAACTGAGCCGACCGGGCTTATCCAGGCCGGTAACGCTTTCAGACTGATGAAGCCACCAGAACCCTAGTCTGGCAGCATGCGTCGTTTTGCTCATGTTTGAAACACGTTATACACAACAATTTCCTTTGGGGGGTGAAGAGAGGGAGAGAGAGGGAGAGAAAAAAAAGTAGGAGACGTCGCTCGTTCTGAGTATTAGAAAATATTAGCAGGAATGCGGCCCAGGTAAATCAAATACATCGCCACCCAAAGCAAATGAACTTATGAAAAACGAGATTTCCCGGTGAGATGTTAATTATATGGCGTCGCGACCGTGAGAATAAGCTACCAGAGCACAATCCCGGGCTGCGATAGTCATGCATACTAAGTGGGCAGTGAACATAACTGAGCCACGTGCCAGGAGTGACAATGTGTCCTTCCTGCAAGCAATCCACGACAAGTCACCAACAGCTCCTGTGACAGTCAGTTATGTGACGGACCGTGTGACGGAGCTGACAGCCGGCCCGCGTCTCCTCGGCTAACGTCTGTCTCCGGGCCCGCGTCTCAACGGCTTACGTCTGTCTCCGGGCCCGTCCACCCGGCTTACCCCTTGTCCAGCCCGTGTCTCCCCGACATACCTCTGTCTCCGGCCCGCACCTCCACAGCTAGATTGTATGGACTCACCTATGTGTCAGAGTTCAAACCCGCGTCTCCCCAGCCTACTGGACTCAACTCTGTATCTCCCATCCCGCGTCTCCCCAGTCCCCGGCTGACTGGACTAAACCCGTGTCTCCCCGGCTGACTGGACTAAACCCGTGTCTCCCCGGCTGACTCAACTCACCCCCGTGTCTCCCCGGGGCTGACTCAACTCACCCCCGTGTCTCCCCGGCTGACTCAACTCACCTCTGCGTCTCCCGCCCGCGCCTCCCCGGCTGACTCGGCTCACCCGTTTGTCTCCCCGGCTGACTGTACTAACCTCCGTGTCTCCGGCCCGCGTCCGTACTAGGTGCGGTCGGAAGTCGTCTCCGTACCGCAGGAAGTAGTAGTGGGACACCAGCCTGTCCAGCGGCCGCCGGATCAGGTTCACGTATATCGGCCGCCGCTGCACACCAAACCTGGGCCAGGAGAACGGTCAAAAGATCAGATACAGCGGTCACAACAGAATCGCACCACGAGAGCGGCACCGAACAATACCCCATAGTGCTACTCATAAATGTCGCTATATCATCGCTCACAAACCCCAAATAATGCGACGCTAGGTCAAATCGGGCCGTGGAATTATCCTAGTTCATTGTTATGCTGGCCTGTAAAGCCGGTGTCACCCGCAGACACTGCCGGCTAGGCCCGGCTCTCGTCAGATGGTAATGCCACAGGTCGGGGCGGTGGAGAGAGAGAGAGACTTACGCTGCAAAGTCAATGAAGGCAATGTGGCCATGGTAGAGCGCTGGAAGACGCTGTTTCCACGTTGTAATGTTGGTGACAAACTCCATCTGTGTAACAGAAAAAAGCAAAAAGTTACGACAGAGTATTTTTACATGGCAGCGCAAACACACCAAAACAGTCAAAGAACCAATCTCAATTACTACTGCATAATGCAAAAACAATGCCACAGTGAACGGAAAGTGCAGTAAATTGAGAAATGTCACTGAATGACAGTAGCGGCGGAACACCTTCAATTAAGGGGGGGGGGGGGCACTGCCGACTTTTGGTCCCATATTCTTTCCATGCAACGCCCATAGGGCTAATGTTAAAATGCAAAAATCAAAGGGAGGCACGGTGCCCCGGTGCCCTCCCCGTTCCACCGCCTATGCTGAATGAAGCCGACTCTTGCCTGATCGACTGACGACATGACGTGGGCGTTTTTGGACGTGTTGAGGTGAATGACGTTGAATCCTTGTTTTTCGCAGATATCGTAGCAGATGCCCATGAAGGTTGTGGAGCCCGTCTTGGGCACCCGGTTGTAGATGACCACCGTCTCATCCCCGACCGTCTCGGCAGCGTCCGCATCCGGCGTGGACAAACGTCGCTCTGGGAAAATAATGACTCGGTGGTACTGTCATCCTTCACAAAGCTGAGTGTTTATTCTCTCGTGTGACTGCAGTCGGAGGGAGGTCCGGGTGAATGCGGCCTTCTAACTGTATGTTGATTAATGTTTTGTTTATTCCGTTTCCCGTTACCGTTATTCGTACCTATCTTTCGTATATGCTAATATTTTAACAAAGATGAACCAAGCAATATGTATATTTCAATATAACTCATGCTAAGTTTAGTCAAGATTAAATCTGAGATGTGCTCGATAAAATCCAACCACAGACCTCTGCACACTGATAACAGGGGTCAATGATCTAGAATACCTATTTAATCGAGACAGGACAGCAAATAATAGCGCGTCGACATACACATTTGTGTAAATCGTTTTAAAAGTTAAATTTTTAATAGCTCACCAATATATGTCAGGCGACTTTGAAGCGCCGAGAGTCTGTTTTCATAATTTATCACTGTGAGGTAGAAGACAAAAACAGATGCCACCAACAGAAGTGCGAAGAAACGTGGTCCCACGGCAGCCATACCTGAGGGCAAGCAACAAAATTAGAAAAAATGAATAGAAAGAAAAACCATCTTGTTAGGAATGTGGCAATGCTGATACTTACTGGCAGGACTGCAAAGTCGGAGTCAGAGTCGATAGTTCTGACCGGAGCCGAGGTCGGACTTGGAAACCGAAGTCGGAGTCGGGGTCACCGAAAACTCGTCGACTATGCACTCCGCAGCCCAGCCAGGTCTGCGGAGTCGGAGTTGGTGTCGGTCGGAGTCGACAGTTCTGCCCAGAGTCGGAGTTGGTTTTTGAAAGCCTGAGTCTGAGTCGTAGTCACCGAAAGGCGAAAATCCATCGAATCATCGAATCCGCAGCCCTGCTTACTGGTGTGACCATTGATGCGCATGAGTCCCACGATAATCTTATTCAGGTGTTAATTTACCAAGGTGGAAAGTTAAAACAATTGTATGCTCCAAACAGCCCATAGACCATAGCTGTCGGTTTGTCAGTAGTCATCACCCATATTTGGATAAGTTCAGCCCCTCTGCCTCTGCAAGCATTCAGCATGTGGCTGCCTGACAACTGATAAATAAAATAAAAACTGAAGGTTAAGGTGTTCACAGATAAGAGACCAATAAGAACTCAGAGAGGTCAGAGGAATGTAGCCTGACTGGAAAACATCCATACACTACGCTGAACGCCCGAGACTTTCTTGCACCGAAATCCGGCACAAGCAATTTTGCGCTGAAATTTCTGCATGATCTGCGCCGAATATTGGGTGCCTATTTGTGCCAAAATTAAGCCTTTTATATAAAGCACATGTGCAAATCTACAAATCAAGGCTATAATAACCAGACTGAGCATTCCGGGACCTTGAATGCTTACCTAGGCCCTGTTTCACCGGTGATAGCAATAGCAGCACGCTGCTATTACACGTGTCAGATTGGGTTTCCATGGAAACATCAACAAGCCATGACGCCGTCAATCTGTGTGATGTCATCAAATATTGCTGCCAACATCTTCACGGTCGTGCAATCAAACAAACGTATCAAACGCAATTCGACGGTACAGCAACTCTGTTCCAAACGCAGCTCACGGATTAAACGAAACGTCATTAGTGTGACCTCATCACATTACGTCAGCTCGCGCAATTTGATAGTAGCATGCTGCTATCACCGGTGAAACAGGGCCCTACTGGTACCTACTGGTAAGCATTCAAATATCATGCAATTCCATTTAAATGCCAACCATACACTTCCTACGTAATCCAGCGTTTTGTATGGTATCTTCTGAGTATAAGTTTGATAGTAAAATAACCGCAAGGTCGATCAAGTTAAAATGAATTACTATCAAATCGCGGCCTATCAGCGTGTGCTCCCCCACTCGTCCAAGGCCGCACTCGTCTCGCCGTTTTGGTTCTTGGTTTTGGTTTTGTGGGACTGAATCTGCAAACTGAATCCTGAATGGTCAAGGAGATGATAATTTCAAAAGATGTTTTCAATTACATTATCAATACGTCACAGGCTTTGATAAAAAGGTCATAGGCCGACACTCCAGTCTTCTCTGTTTGAACAGTTTGCACCTGTTTCAAGTCAATTTTTTTCTTTTTTAAATACAGGAACACATTTTTTTCAGAGCGATTTAAGCATCTGAACGTCACTTAGCCTTTATTTTCTGTAAAAAAATGCATTTACCTGAAGCTTAACTAATGACGTCATTAAAATTAGGCTCCGAATTGTAATATCTATCAACGTAAATAACATGCCAGTGCGGCGATTGTGTGAGGAGGTTTCAACGATTGTTTTGCATTTATTAGTTATCTGTTATGAAAATCTGCGTTTCTTGTGCATGCTTTATGCCAATTCATCACTCATTTATTATTTTCTTTTTGGTTTGAAGCTATTCGGGACGTTCCTTGTTAAAGAACAGGCATTGATGAATGCGTCGATATTGTCTCTTTTTATTGCCTCGCAAATTTCAACAGGTCAGTTGGGCAAACTACGGGGAGGTAATCACGAACTTGATTAATCAAGTTCATGATTATGACGTCATGAAAATGGGGCGTGGCATGACCATATAAGGAGTTGTAATCAAGATTTTGATTACTTTTCGTGCACCGAACTATTCAAGTGTTTCGTATCGATTGTTATAATGTCCATATCGACACGATTTTTTACCAGGTGAAACGCAATATTCTATTCTCCCGAAATGATATGGACCGGTAGCAGTGGGATATGTACTTTAGCTCATATGGCGAAAGATAAACTGCTAGCCTAACTTTTTCAGAAAAGTGATATTTTTTAAAGCCCTTTTTAGGCGGATATTATTCTTTTATCCACATTTTTACGTTTCTAATTTAAAAATAAATAATTGGACATTCATTTTACACACGTCTTAAATTGGTCGTAATAAACATTTCTTCCAAAAGGCACCGTCGCCTGTTAGCACGCCGCCATTTGTCGTGTTGTCGGTGTGTGGGTGAGGCCGGAAATTAGCGCCGAATTATTGGTAATTTGGTTCTTATAGGAAAAATTAGCATTTTTTCAATAATTTAGATCATGTTTGTAAATTTGAATAGCCTCAACGTTCATGTGCGTCGGTATAAATGTTGAAATATCGCGATAGAATTTATGATGATTTTGTAGGCTATCATGGCGCATGCTTTCCGCGGTATAATATTTTAATTATTTACAAAGTGTATTGCTATTTACATGGTTATAGTTTATCTTAAAGTAAATAATAGGCATAGTTTGTTGTTTGGGGCAATTGTTGATTAGAGAGGCACATTTAACTGCCCACAGTAGCTAGAAATGTTGTGGCCTGGCAGGTTGTGCAGAAGTTTGTAGTGTGGCCATATCATTTATTCTTGTCAATTATCTGTGCAAGCAGGTACCAATAGGATATATCTTTTAGTTTTCAATAAAAAGTTAAACTTCGGCTTATGCTAGGTTATTCATACTTGCATTCTAAGTGGCTTTGTCATGGATTCATAGAACAATAATAGAAGTGGTGACTGCAAATGTGTCTGTTTTTCCACAGCTCATCAAAGCACCACCTCCTCGCTGTAGCGGTGGGCGTCACCACAGTATTGTTCAGGAAGCTTGTGATAATGGTACCTACGGTCCTACCTTGAGGAATTTTCAATCAAAAAATGATATGATTAACTTCTTTGGAATTAAGCGGACTAACTACAGCTGCATTTGTATTATGTGCAGCCCTCATGCAAGACAGCAGGCCAGGATGCAGGGACACACAGTGCAGGTATGTATAAATTGCTTTTGCAATAGATGGTTGTAGTGTTTTGTTTTGTCGCTGGTGCGTCACATTCAGTTTGGTGTGTCACGTTGAGTTTGGTGCGTCACGTTCAGACACTACAATGATCCAGTCCAGTGTACATGTTGCACACTCGAGCTGGGCATGCTGAAAATAATTCGCTGGAGCTCCTTCAGTGTGATCTCATGAAGTTGCCTGGCACAACTTTGCGAGCTCACATGACTCATCCCCAGTTTTGTCCTGACACAGGCCAATCTAATCCTTTTTCAAGATACAGGCATTGTCTATTCTAATGTTTTCAAAACAATTCATTCTAATCTAAATGCAGAAACTTCTTTACTGATACATGTGTAATTTGTACCTACATTTTCCAGACTGCTGAGTCTGAGGCATTATACATTATTTTCACATCATGTGCCGAAATGTAGTATCAGTGCCCTGTGCCAACACATCAGGTCCATGTCTTGTCTTGTTTGTCTTGTTACATCTGTCTACCTCTCCTCCATCATTTCTTCCTTCCATCTTTCCTTGCTTCCTTCCTCACTCCCTCCTTCCCCTCCCCTCCCCTCCCCTCCTCTCTCTCTCCTCTCTCCTCTCTCTCTCCCTCCTTTACTCTTTCCCTCCTTCTCTCCTATTCTTTCTCCTCCATTTTCTCCCACGCAATGTTAAGTGTACCTATAATTTGGTTATGAACATTTTGCAGGGGATCAGCTGGGAGAACCTGCAGCGCATTCTCCAAGAGACGACGGAAGCCAACGGAGGCCCGCAAAACTTTCCATCCCATAATCGTGAATGGAGAGCTGGGCGGGGAAGACGCGGTATTCGTCGAGGCCCAGGAGGTGGTATCGGCGCCACCAGACCAAGCATTCCTGCTGTGGCAGGCCGCCTTTTGGATTTTTAACATCAAAACTCCTAAAAACATGGTCAATCTGAATTGGTTTCTGAGAACCAAAGTGTTTGGTGGAGTGAAGGCCGATGTGCCGCCATCAGCGGCGGCCATCGCGACCGTGAAGCAAGTGGAGTGAGATCCCCGTAGAGCATGCCGCGGCGGGGTGTCGGAAGCGTTTGCCAATTCTTTGAGCCTTCCATCGGCGCGGACTATAAATACACATTTCAATACACATTTCTTGAAATATATCTTTGATCTGTGCTTGGTTACACGGGCTTAGGGTTGTAACGCTATTCGTCCAATATATGTGGTCGTATGCAGATTATCATTTGAGCTGACTTATGGTCAGGCCGCTTATCGCGGACAGCGGTGTTCTTGCTCGGGGTGGTCTTTTTCAGATCCGTGTTCGGCAATGTGAGCGAGCAAGCGCGAGAAGAGGTGTGCTCGTGCACAAGTCCACATGTGTGTGCCACATCCCTATTCCCTAACTTGTCTAAAGCTTACAGCTATTAAGTCTCTAGCCACCCACCAAAACTGAAAAACAATCGGTGACGCCGTTCCGGAGATACAGAAATGATGTGCGCGTGTGCAAACATATCCTATCCCCGATTTGTCCAAAACTTATAGCTAATAGGCTTCTAGCCACACAAAAATTTGAACAGGCTCGGTCAAGTCATTCATGAGAAACATTAACTGCAACATAAATTCCATCCCACCAAAACTGATTGATTTTGTCAATAATATACACGATTATCATTGTATCTTTTAATTAGTTGCATTGTTCAACGCTCGCCAGTAGCACGATCAGCGCGATCAAAATCGTGATTAGCCAGCTGAATGCGAAATCAAGATCATGATTAGCCAGCTGGCTGCATAATCAAGAAGTTGATCATCGGACTCCCGGGACGACGCCTCGTAATCAAGTTGTTGATTACGTTTTGGTTGCAATCTACCGCCTCACGATTTTCAACTTGAATCATTCAAACATTGCACGTGTAGAGTGACTTCTTCTCTATCGGTCTTACAATTTTCGTGGATCTCCGTAGACCCTGAATCGAGATTCAGCCGTTTTCGTGACAGGCTGCAGACATGACCAAATATGGGCATAAAATAATCATGAACTTGATTAATCAAGTTCTTGATTACCTCCCCGTAGTTTGCCCAACTGAGGTGTACCTTTGCAGTATTATGGATGAAGTATTCCTGGATAGGACACTGCTTATTCCCCAAGACTAGCGCCACTTTTTACGCGCCAAATTCAGCGCATGGCGGCGGGCCGGCGGCTGAATTTTTCGGTGCAGGGTGGCCGCATAATTTTCTGGCGTAAGATGGTTACCTAGCTGGCACAGGTACACTGAGCTCTGTTCGGTCGTTGTTTTTATATCAGCGTGCTGTTGGTTTTCCCCATATGTGGAAGTTATTGCTGGTGCTTCTTGGCCTCTCATCGGTCTAACGAATAGACCATTTGAGTTTGATCAATGAGGAGCCAAGAATTAACAGCATGCTCGCAGCCTGCTGATAAGTAAACGGGGGGCGAACAGAGCTCTGGCCAGTCTAGCTGGCAGCAGGTTCGCCCTGTGGGCAGTGGGCGGCTCTGGAGAAGTGTCGGGACGAGACGTCTCCGCCGCGGTCATCACGTGCTTGAAATGGGGAGGCGCCCTGTGTCTACTTGGCGGAGAAGCGGCCGCCCAGATGAGGCCTCAACCCTCAGCATGGATATAGGTACGGAAGATCTTGTTGAACATCGCTGAGCATCCAATGGGTTCCTTTGCAATCCCTTTGCAATATTGCAATGGGTCCATGCCCACTGGCCACTGCTGTATTGAGGGGAATGACAACGCGGACGGCCTGGGGAAACAAGCGGCCACCCTGCTCTCGGACGCCCACTCACTGACCCGGGCGGTTCATTGTGCTGCCTTGCATCAATGGCGCGACAACTGATCTGAGTCACTATTCAAGCCACTCCTCGGGAGCACGCCACCGCTCCATCCCCGGAGAGGACGGCGTTTCGGAGCACCAGATGGGGTCGGGGCACTGGGCCCTGGGGCTGCTCACTCCAATACGTGCACCAAATTGCCTGTCTCAACTCCGTCTCGTGCCAGCAGTGCTCAGACAAGCTGTGCCCCGCGGCGCTCTGCGCCATGTGCCAAGAAGAGGCTGATGTGCCTGAGCATGTGCTGCTCCGCTTCCCGGCCCTCGCTGGCTCCCGCCAGCCTCGAGCACACCGCTCCGCCGAATCTTGTGGCCTGGGAACTTCCGGCTCCGGCCTAGTTTCATGGCGCGACGCTTCAGTGCCTTAAGTGTATTGGGTTTCCGGGGAAATAAAACGTTTTTGGACGCTCAAGCCTCAAACATGGGAGAGCATCCAAGGCCCCAGAACGCTCTGTCTGGTTGATATAGCCTTGATCGGTAGATGCGTTCATGTGCTATATATAAAAGTGTACTAATTTTGGCACAAATAAGCACCAAATTTTCGGCGCACATCATGCAGAAATTTCAGCACAAAATCGCTTGCGCCGAATTTTGGTGCAAGTGGGTCTCACGGGCGTCCGGAGTAGTGTATGGATGTTTTCCAGTCGGGGCCATGGTGTGCTGCGAATCAGATATTGCGTGAAACTACTGTGGGCACGGGCGGCCCATGTTTCCACCCTAATGAACTGCCAAGAGAGAAAACTGCAAGTGCTGAAACCTACATGTTGTGGTCAAAGCCCTTATTCAGTGCTGGCTTGACTGCACTTTCAGTCTGATTACCTTACCTTACCTTACCTTACCTCAAAGTGAACGGGATGTGTAAAGGCCACGTAGCGTCACGCGGTAAGCGGCCCTAGAAAAACAGTCAAAAATAAATAATGACGGAAACACTTAAGTCATTTTTGGGTCAAGTCAAAGGCCAGGTCGCCAGAGGTCATCAAAGGTCGAATTTAGTCCATTTTAATAATTTTGGAAACTGCCAACGGCTAACTCGGAAACCATTAGAGCTACAGCGCCGCGGAAAAGCCCATCCGATAGCCCTTTTACAGACCTTTCCGGGTATTGTTCTCAGATTTGACCTCAGGTCAACGGTTTAGCCTCCGGAGGGCAACAACTCCCAAATTAGTTAGCAGTTTTTTATGAAAAACGTTTTATCTGCGATAACTTTTGACTCAAGACAGTGACTACATTTATTTTGCCAGCATCGTGTTCGTCTCGTCGAGGCGCGTCGAATTAATCATAATTTGACCTTAAAATGTCATTTTGAAAATTTGACCTTAGGTCACGGTCATGACCTGACCGGAAAAGGTCAGTTGCATATCAGTCGATCCGTATCGTCGAGCTGAACACAACTGAGGTGTTTTCATCGCTCTAGCATGTCAGCTGTCAAGATTTATTGGCAAGAAAACTGCTGGGGACCTTTCATGACCTGATATGACCTCAGGGACATAAGGAGAGGTCACGGCCCACGGGTGCTATTTTTGGATTCAGCTTGTCACGCTTACCTGTAACTCGATGTTAGAGAGTGTTAGGAATGACGTTCGTCCAAAAGAGGCTCTTTTAAATTTTCTCCCATTGACTTATAGGTAATGGAGAGGTCGCAAAATTGACCTGACCTTATACCACCGATATCAAATTTCCGATATAGGTATACATTTTGTACATACTGTTGCTCTTATCAATCGCTGACAGTTTCAAGGTGATCGTTCAGTCGGTGTTGCTATGACGAGGATTGCAACTTTTTCTGAGGTGAGGTCACTTGACGTGACCTGGTGACCTGACCTTGAGAGCCCTGGGTCTGACATTTTCACAACATGTGCGGAAAAGATGCACCGCAAGGGGGGGGGGGGGGGTTCAAACACCTCCCCCGGCCCGGCGCGGGTCAAGCTCGTGCAAGGTTCGAGTCAAAAGTTATTGCAGAAAAACTGATTCCGAAAAATAGCCTTTTTCACAGTTGTTGCCCTCTGTAGGCAAAACCGATGACAGCAGTTCAAATCTGAGACAATTATTCAGAAAGTGTTAAAAGGGCTATCAAATGCCCTTTTTGGGGTGTGCTGTAGCTTGTTAGCTCTATTGCTTTTTTTAGTTATGCGCCGGTTTGTTTAAATTTTCGACATTGGACCTGGAAATTGGCGAAATTTGGCCTCTGATGACCTCTGTGACCTGACCTTTGACCTGGCCCAAAAAAAGTGACTGATGTATTTTGAAATTTCGTCATTATTTTTACGCTGTTTCGAACGCCACGTTTCCCGTGTCGCTACGTGGCTCAGGCGCCGAGTAAGAAGAGGTGGTGGTGGGGGGGGGGGGGGGGGGAGGGGGTGCTCAACTTCTCCCCCCCCCTCCAGCAGGGCGAGGAAATCCAGGAGCCCCAGCGGGGCGCAGGTTAACTCTCGCCGGCCGAGGAGGGGGGCGGGTGCCGCCATCCCCCCCCCCCGTAGGGTTTTCGCGATAGCTCCGACCACGCTGGTGATAGAGAGCTGAAACTTGACATACCTGACATTTGATTCAAGTCAGATCTTTTGACACCAACCGCATTTTCGGGTCAGGTCAGGTCACTGACCTATGACGTCATAAGTGAACTTCTGCACGGACTTCAGATGTCGCAACTTCGCAACGCCCTCAGCCCCTCACTGCCAGGGAGCTTTCACAGGGAAATGAAACTCCCAGGACCTAGTACCCATTAGGAGTCTCACAACTTGTATATCCGGATTTTCCCTAAAAGTCATATGAGGTCAGGTCATTTTCGTGACCTCACCAAATTGTAAGGCAATGGGGAAAAATGAAAACTGCTTTTCTGGCGCCGGGAACGATCTCCAACTATCTCAAGCACGCAGAATCGTGATTTCATGCTTTCCTTGCAAGGTTCGATGCGTCACTTTTGCAATGTTGACCTTGCGTGACGTCATTTATGACGTCATTAGATTCATATTAATTTTTCGTCAATAACTCCCGATCTAATTGAGCTAGCGATTCGGGAAAGCCACCAATGGACTCAAGAAGACCTGCCGAATCAAATGATATGCAACATGACCTCCTTCGACCAATTTCGTGACCTCGCCGTGACCCGAGGTCAACACCTTAAGTTGACCTCACCCAAACAAAAAGTATATCATTCGACGCGCCTGAGCGAGGCGAACACGACGCTGCCAAAATCGCGGCTCTGCGGCCGTTTTTTTGCGAAGTTATTCGCCAAAAACGGAACCGTATCTTGGTGTACTTGACCTGACCTCCGAGGTCACCGGTTGACCTAGGACCTTAAAATCGGGTATCAATCTCTGCGTCTCGTAAGGGCGCTTACGCTTTTTTTTTTCGCGACGCGCTAGCTCCACCAGGGGCAAAATGGCGATGGGGGTGGTGTCGTACCCGCCCCCCCCCCCTCGGCCGGCGCGTATGTAGAAAACCAATAGTTTCGGCAAGGGTTAATATGTCATTGTCATAGAGTTTCCTTATGCAGCCCTGCTATGAAGTTTGAAGTGGCTGCTGACAGTGCTGACCATAGTTGGGTCAGTCAGGTTGTCTTGCATATTGTTACTAGATTGAGCACGTGGAAAAACATCCCTGTATAGAAAGGAAAGATATAGGTATATCCCTAAAAGCTCATTTGGACCTCAGCTTCAGTGATACCTATCTCATCTGGCTATCTCACCTGGTTGAGTAGGTAATGGGTTCCTTGTGTCGGAAAGATAGAGGCAAGAAAGGATGGCAAGGAGAGTGAATCAATGAAGGAACCCTGAATATTAGATGTGTCAGCCCTATTTTCCAGCCAATCTTGCAGCAGTGAATATTTGATGTATTATTTATGTATTGTATTATGTATTACCCTTATATTGTTTTTCAACTAAAAAAAAGACCTTCATAATCATAATCTCATTGCCTTTTGGATCGGGTGCAAAACTTGACTACAAACTATCACAGAAGTAGTAGAAACAAAGATCATTTTATCGATGGCATAGGTAATACTAGGGTTGACTATTAAGTAATGGAAGTGCCTTAAGCAATTAAACGTTTTTGCACGTGCATACATTTTTGGAGTGTCATTTCATGCGCCGATGTTTTTTCTATCCAATGGTGAAAACCACATGTCCTTAGCTACTTTTTGCTATAAGCTATCGTCGTTTTCCCAAGAGACCACCCGAACCTGTGGCGCACCACCTGGCAATGGCCAAAACCGCGCGCCAGCGCCGAGTGCAAGGTCATTAGAGCTCAGTTTGTCGTAGGGAAAAGGCCTACCAAGATCAGAAAATTTATTTTTTAAGTGTATGGAGCGACGCAGCCTCCCCACAGACGATATGTCGGTGGTTTCATCGGTTTGAGAAAGAAAGCGCCAATCAGTCTTCTGGCGGCGTTCCAGGAGTGGGTCAAGACGAGGCTGGAACGGTGTGTGATGCTTGAAGGCGATTATGTGGAGTAGTGTTTGCTGTCATTTATCGTGCCTATGTGTATTTTTTTTTTTTTGATGAAAATATAGCAATTGTCCATTGTGTAGCCATAACAATAAGCCAATAAGCTCTGATGACCTCGCGCTGGCGCTTGGCGCGCGATTTTGGCCATTGCCAGACTCCTTTTTCATGGTGCGCCGCAGGTTCGGGTGGTCTCTTGGGAAAACGACGATAGCTTTGAACAAGAAGTAGCTAAGGACATGTGGTTTTCACGTTTTCACCATTGGATAGAAAAAACATCGGCGCAGGAATTGACACCAAAAAAATATGTGCACGTGCAATAACGTTTAATTGCTTAACCCTATTAGTTGCAGGGGGGGGGGGGTTGTTTCCATCCACCCCTCAGGTTTTTCGGGAATATCTCCGAAACCGCTGAAGCTACGATGCTGAAATTTTCTGACTTTTCCTAACACTAAATTGGGCACATTCCCTGAAAATTTCAAGTTCATAACTTTACCAGGGGCGGCTCCAGAGCACTGGGAATTGGGGGACCTATTCGTGAAGCGAGTCATTTGGGCGAAGATCACGATGCTGATGTACTATAACTGTATGCACCAGTTTTACGAACAGTGAATGAAAGGTATCATGTGATAACATATACAAAGTTATTGTGCATCCTCTTTTGACACGTTTTTGCTATAATAGGCGGATCCAGGCGTCCAAAAAGGGGGGTTATGTTTTACCTCCCAACATAGGTGCCCTGACACCGCCTATGCATGACCAATACAATTGTAGTCGTTCTCTCATAAGAACATTGTAACATAACAAGACCATTACCACCCTTTTTAGAAACAGTACCAACAAAAACCTTATTTACTATACTTTTTGTGTACCCCCAATCTCAATGATCTGTATCCGCCTATGATTTTTGAAAATGCATATTTTTAGGATCCGTGTAAATTCCTGGTTCATTCTCTATCGATCGGCAAAAGTTGCGTTAAGATTGGTTCAGAAACCTGGCCGCGATAAACAGTCTAAAATGTATCTGCAATTTGCCCGTTTTTACCCCCCTCTACCCCCCCCCCCTATTGACATTTTTTAATTTTTATTTTTTAGAAATGTAGATCACGTTGAGCGAAATCGAATGCCGTTTGCATTTTGAAAATCGGCCCGTTAGATCTCGAGATATCAGGGGGGGGGGGGGTCGTAAACAGCCCCCCCCCCCTGCCACTAATAGGGGTAGCCAGGAGCCTGCCACTAATAGGGTTAAGGCACTTCCATTACTTAATAGTCAACCCTAGTATTTGCCTACCTTCACCAGTAATTTTTCAATCAAATGTGTGTTAGGTGTGTTTGCTGCTCACAGTGTTACTCTTGCTAAAACATTTTTTTATCCACAGGGTGACACCAGCAGTGGAGTGTGACAGGATCTGGTGCAGACACAGTGAGGCCCCCAAGTTCAGTCTTATGTTGGGAAGAGGCCAGAGTCTGGGTGGCGGCGCTCTGCTGAGCGCGGGCTACCTGTCTGGGCAGATGTCGCGCCCGCCCCCTCCACTGGCGATCACCAGTGGTCAGTGCCAGGACAGGCCGGAGGCCAGTGACCTGAAGAGGAAGGACCGTCATGGCAATGGTGCCAGTGGTTCAGGTTAGTAGGTAGTTAGTAGAGCATAGAATAGTGTACCCAATTACCCACAAACCGCTGCACAATAAGGAGGCATGCAGAGGACAATCACTACGTTTCCATGACACGTCTAAATCGATTTAGCGAAATTTCACGTGCGTTTTTCTCGGAAACTATTTCCCTTATGCAAAAAATGAGCAAACATATGGTTTTAGCTCGCACCTAATCCTATATTTACATATTTAAATGATGCCTAAATGCTATGATTGAGGAAATCCATTTTTCAAAATCGGCTTAGCTTGTGCCATGGAAACGTAGCCAATGATTAACCATGTGTTTTGTTTTCCAAGTTATTGAAAACAATGTTATTAACACTGAGCATTTCATGATGTATGAGTGAAAAACAGACTAGCTGCATGTGCTGAACTCATTTATAATCTCCCTGTGATGTGCACACTGTCAGATGCTGGATCCGGCGGCGATGCCAAACGAAAGAAGAAGCGGCGCTCGCGCTGGGAATCTGACGAGAACGACAAGACGTTCATCCCCGGCATGCCGACAACCCTGCCAACCAACCTAGATAAGAGTCAGGAGCAGGCCTACCTGCGTGAGTACAGGATGGGCTTCCAGGGCGGGGGAGAGGGGGGCTTACAGTTGCCGGGTGGTGTTGTGCAACAAACCAGGGTGGTCCGACCATACTACGACACATTGTCATTACACGTTTAGTGAATGCTTGTCTGCGACGCCCAGGATACGGATTCTGACGCAGATGGATTCTTAAGGAAGCTGTGTCATGCACCTCACGAATTATTTCATGCGTTTTAACAACTTTGTCCACAGGAATGGAATGTTAACGACGGAGACTTCAGCACTTCCTGTTAGGGGCTAATCTCGTCAACATGTTTTCCTATTTTCATTGCATAATGTTCATATCGTCATTTTCGACACTGCTGTGGTGTTTAACCGTGCATGATACTGTCTCAATTCGTGTTGTTTTATCGATTTTTTTTATGAAATGCTTTTTTCCCTATCGGCAGCTCACTCCATCACGGATCACCTCTTTCAGCATCACGGCCGCCCATGTTCAATATATGACGATCAATGCTTTTGTGACTTGTGTTTTATGCCAATCTGGGACTCTAGTAATTTCGACATGCTAGTGGCAACGCTGAGGTTCTCCACGCTTCCGCTTTTTTTACGTGCGTCATTGTGCCTTTCCGGTCAGCAAGCCGTGCCATGTCCTACCCGTACCGCGTCTTACTCGTGCCGTGTGTTACCCGTGCTGTGTCGTACCATGTCGCCGGCGCGCGGCGGTCGTTCTGACGCGGTCCCGGGCTCTGCCCGTCTCTAACTCGGCCGCTTTCAGTTCAGCTCCAAATAGAGGACTGTAGCCGGAGACTTCGCTCCGGGGACCTGGGCATCCCGTCTAACCCGGAGCAGAGGTAACCGGTCCGCTCCGGCCGCCCCGGCCCCGTCAGAGATCGGCGCGCGGATCGGAGATGGCACTCCGCGGGCAGGGAGGGCTTTCTGATGGGATAATGAGAGGCAATGGAAGGGGTGGCTCTAAATTACTGTTTGCTTTGTTGGGGTCTCGTGAGAAAGGATCGGGCACAATGGGAGAAGAGCTGTTCGTTGCCAGTTGTCGCAACGGACATATCTTACCTCTCTGGTGTCGGGGTGGGCTTGAATAACGAGAAGCCGCTATTTACTCGGTTCTCTTTCATTCAAAAGTCGCCATTTATTCTCAGTGTCTAGTGGGGTGAATTAGTTCATTAGTTGTGTTTTATGCAGTTTATTTTCACTGCTTGCTCTCCTTTTCGTTCGTTATTCACTTACCTAATTGTAGTGTGAGCTTATATGTTCTTGTGTACTGACATGATGTTTTCGTTTGTGGTTTCTACCATGGCAAAAGAAGGGTGCTTAAACTCCAAGCATTGCATAAAAATTAATTTGATACATCCATTACATTAATTTTTTATTAAAAGCCTAAACATGCAGTCAGGGTGTAGGTCAAAGCAGAGTTGATGATATGCGAAAAAGGAAAATGATTGTGCAGCCTGTCGACACCAAGATGCAGTGTCCATGTCGGTCTCTGAACGCCTCTGTCTAAAATGATTATCACCAGTGCAATAACATTCGGTAGCCTGAACAGGACAACATCGCCACGCAGCTGCTGTTTTAATAACTTCAACTAAATACCATTGGTTTTCAGGGCGGAACCAGATTACCTGAATTTACAAATGCAGAGCAGCGGTTCGATTTGATTTGATTCACTGAGGTATCGTGCGATATGCACCTGCGATCGTCGTACTTTTCTATGAGTGTCTAATCATTGAGCTTTAAGTTCTGAGGGTTGTCATAATAGCTAACAAGTACCTGCTTCCATTATCTAGGAACTTGGCTGGCGTTGAAGGCTGAATGTTAGAAGATGTAACAGGTCTTAAATGTCTTTGTCTTTTCTGGAATACAGCACAGCTCTAGGGGACATGCACAGCTGGGTTTTCGCTAAATAATCGTTCTTTCCCCAGCTAGCCGTGAAACCGGAATGACGCCATGTTAGAATAACCGCCAATCGATTGCGCTACGCGGGCCCAAACATCTTATTTCCATTTTTGTGTCTTCATGGGACGTCGGTGCTAAGCGTTTATCTGATAGAATTCTAAGGGGATCCGATCTCCAGCGATTTGTGGTAGATGTTCCTGGCGCTCTCTATAATGTCGGCAGTTTGTTTATTAGCTTGACACTTGTTTAATGGTCTTCTCGACCGACGACTTCATTGGCAATCTGTGGACCATTTCATTACCTACACTTTTCTGATAAATACCCTAACAACGGTCCTTGCCTCATCCGATTTCTCATTATTTTACTTTGATCGATCATGCCACAAATCAGTTTTCACCTACAATTCATCGTATCTCAGTTTATCTGGTCAGTCACTAATGTTGAATTATATTTCTAAACCCCTGAAGCCGGTACCACAATTGTTCAACTTTCTTCGAGCGTCATTTCAGTTCGCTAACAGAGTATCTACCACACCGCCCTCTCCCCAGAGTAGCAGAGTGCAACCACGCTCTCACCCCCCCCCCCCCCCCTCCCCCAGGCGCGGTTTGCCTCCCCTCTGACCAGCAGTGTGGCGCGCAGGTCCCCCTCGCCGGAGCCAGTGTACGGGGCGAACGGAAAGCGGCTCAACACGCGCGAGTACCGCACGCGACGCCGCCTGGAGGAGGAGCGACACAAACTCGTCCAGAAGATGCTGCAGATCAACGCCGAGTACAAGCCGCCGGCTGGCTACAAGTGAGGAACGGCACGGGCCTCGGACCGGTGTGCAGCTGTACATTGTTTTGATTAGAGTGTGTGTTTGGTGAATGGGACGGGACGTTCCATGTCCGTTCATGTTTCTGGGAAAAGTATTGAAGCAGAATTATTTAATTTGCCCTACTGCAGCCTTTGTTTTGTACTGATTCCTCGCAATTCGATCTTGAAGCGCGATTTATTTTCGATTTTCTGTGTCTTCTCGTCTTTGCTTGCGTAGCGAAGGTACGGAACGTCTGCTTGATTATCTCATAGGACTTTGGAGCGGGGCTGTTGTTGACATGACGTCTTACGTTTCCCTCAGGCCGTCCAACAGTAAGGTGACGGAGAAGATCGCCATCCCGCAGGACGAGCACCCCGACATCAACTTTGTCGGCCTGCTCATCGGCCCCCGCGGCAACACACTTAGAGGTGAGTATCCGACGCGTTCAGCAAAACAATATTTCAGTTGCTGTGAAATGCAGCTGTACTGTTTTGATATTTGTTAATTGTCGCTTTCATAAGCGATGTGGCGGATGGTTTTGTGTTTTCAGCGTGTAAATTCAAGTAACTGTGTTAACTACGTCGCTCTCCAAACTATCGCGCGATCACAAGTTTCATTAACCGTCTCCTACACATTTGCCGGTTCCCCTAGTGATGCTGGTCCCCCGTCCGCCAGCACTGGAGCAGGAGACGGGTGCCCGGATCGTGATCCGCGGCAAGGGCTCCGTCAAGGAGGGCAAGGTGGGCCGCCGAGACGGCCTGCCGATGCCGGGCGAGGACGAGCCGCTGCACGCGCTCGTCTCCTCGCTCAGCCCCGAGTGTGTGGAGCGAGCCGTGGCGCGCATCAGCGAGATCATCCGCCAGGCCGTGGAGCTGCCCGACGGAGAGAACGACCTGCGGCGCAGCCAGCTGCGCGAGCTGGCCCTCCTGAACGGCACGCTCCGCGACCAGGACGGGCAGCGCTGCATCAACTGCGGCGCCGACAACCACAAGACCTGGCAGGTGAGACCGGCGGGGATGGGTGGGAAGTGGGATATTTATAGGGGGAGCTGGGAGTAGTGCTGGGCACGGGCCTGCGCAGTTGAAATTAAGATATGTAAAAGCGCGAGCAGTATTTTGTGAGACATGTTCGACTTTCGAGGACAGGTTCGAGCATATTTTGTGGAACATTAAACGTTTCTCTGATCATTCAGTATTGTAAAGCGAACCCTCATGTTCTCTGCCCTCAGTGTCAGGACAAGCCGAACGTCACGAACAACATCGTCTGCACGAGCTGCGGGTCGGCCGGACACGTGTCGCGGGACTGCCGGCAGCAGCGCTGCGGGCTCGGCCTCGCCGGAGGAGAGGAGCAGACCCAGGAGAGCGCTCCGGACCCCGGCGCTCGCGCCCGGATCGACGAGGAGTACCTCTGTCTGATGGCGGAGCTGGGTGAGGCCGGGCCGCCGCCGGGACGCGCTGGCGGTGCGGCGCCGTTTGGTGGTCGGCCGGGTGCCGGCGGTGGGGGGCAGAGGTGGCCCGGCCCGCCACCGGCACGAACTCTGCTGAACCAGCCACCGCCGCCGCCGCCGCCGCCCATGTCCGTGCCGCCACCCAACGGACGGCCGCCGGTCTGGGCCGATCCGGCCAGCTCTCAGGCGCCGCCGCCGCCGTTCCAGCAGGCACCGCCGCCGCCGTTCCAGCAGGGACCCCCGCCGGCTGTCCGACAGGCACCGCCGCCGGCCTTCCATCAGGGACTCCCACCACCCGTCCAGCAGGGACCTCCACCGGCACTCCATCAGGGGCCGCCACCTTCGGGCCACCAGGGGCCGCCGCCGACCGGCGCCGCTCGACCGGACCTCTCCGCGCCCCCGGGTGGATTCCGGGCCCCGCTGCCGGGTCTCTCCCAGTCCGGAGACACGTCTGTCAGACCGTCCCAGCCCGCCAGCAGTGGCAGTGACAGTGTATGGCAGTCGCCCTGGCAGCAGGGACTGCCGCCGCTGCCGGTGCGGACGAGCGCGGCGCCGGGCGCGCGGCCGCTCGGCCCGCCGCCGACGGCCGGCCTACCGCCGTGGCAGCCGCACTTTGGCGTGCCGTCGCTGCACCTTGGGCCGCTGGGTGGTCGGACAATGGACGGTCCAGGTCTGCCGGACCTGCTGGCGGCACCGCCACCGCCGCCGCCAAACTAGTTCGGGAGGAGTCGTGCTGCATAGTCAACTATCGAGAGCTCAGTGACATATTGTGCTCGGTAGGATTGGGATGGAGCCGTCAGAGTGCTAGTCGCAGGGAGACGAGCTGTATGGTATCGCAGCATTGATATCAAGACGGAACAGTCGCAGTGAGTGTTATCATTTGATTGTCAAAAGACGTTGGCTGTCAGGAACCGTACCAGAAGGAGCATCCGACGTATCGGCTGCTCGACTGAGTGGCATATCTGTTTGACAGGAAGTTTGAGTAGCGCTCCACCCAAAAGAGCCGAGTTTGAGTGGAAGTTTGAGTGATATACGAGCAGGGTTTTTATGTTTTCCGGCTGAAGTGTCTGAACGCCGCGCCGTATGAAGTGTGCGAAATGCGAGTTGAGTGGTCCGGAAACGGCTGCGCGGGTCAGGATATGAAACTGCGCTGGAAGAGGAACTGAGCTCGGTTGGAACTAAATCTCAGACCACGTGCATCTAACTATGAGTTCCGGTGCTCTGATAATCCAGGCCTATTCTGAGAAGCACCGTGTATTTCTGAAAAATACCGTGGAACTCCAAGGGGCGCTGCTGAATTCCCAAGTGCACTGTGGTGCCCTCGTGTCTCGGCTTGAGGCACAATGCGGTGATCCGTGGTGTTTCAAGACACACTGCTGTACTGCGAGGTGATACGCGGTGATCCAATGCGCGATCACTGGAGTCCACGAAGGCTCCGTGGTTCTGCAGGTCATCTGGGATATCTCGACACGGTCCACCATCGGGATTCCATCAGGTCAGTCCAAGGCGTTCCTTTCGGGCCTCTATGGGTGTTCACGAGTTACCCGTTTCCCGCGGGTTACCCATGTTTCCTGGGTAGAGTGGGTAGGGGCGTGGGTAGCGACATGCAACTCCAATTTGAACCCGTGTTCTGATGAATTTTGTCAAGTCGCTCGTTGCGTAAGCAATAAGCATTACGCACTACGGGGTGCGGCTGTTGGTGTTGTCCCGGTGGTTTTTGGCTGCTGCACATGCGTGTTGTGTGTTAGAATGAGTGGTGAGTCCTACAAACCGAACGGCTGGATGCGAAGTAATGCTGGACTGCACATGTTTCAGCTAGGATGTTTGGCTGATCTCGGGTAGATTTTTGGCACAAAGGGACGGTTTACCGCGCTGCGTCCAGGACTAGGTCTCCATGTTTGAATGCATTGGCACGCATGAACAACTTGTCAATACATTGCTGACCCGCCATCCATGACTTTAGTTTCTCTCCCCCTCGTTACGGTACTATGGGTGCTGGTCGGACAAGGGTGTGAGACCACGTATGACCTGTTTATACCTCGCCCGGCGGCCGCTTACCGTCATGCTTCACTGATTAGAGCTGCTGTGAGTGCGTCAACATCGTGAGGGCGGTGAACCCCCAGCTGTCTGTGTATACGGTATTAGAGAACTATGTCGATTCATGCTGCCCGGAGTGAATCATTTAGAATGACAAACTTCACTGCGCATCGAATGCGAAGTGTACGATTTCCTTGTAAAACCTACTAAAGACCAGCATAAAACTTTTGAACTTGTTTAATGTTTTGTTTGTTTTATGATTGTGATCACGGTGCTTGATCATTGCTTCAGTCATTAATTCCTACACTTTTGTGACAGTTGCAAAATCATGACATGGTTCAGCTTACGCGAGAGGCCGGAATGCTAGGTGCCTGCCCACCGCATCGGTATTATCGGAAAGCTATTTGATTCACATTTTTTTCGGTGATTTCGATTAGGCCAGGCAGATAGTGGTAGCTTAGCTAGTTAGTATGTAGTGCAGGTGATACTAGAGGCGATACAGGTGAGAGTGACTCATACGCAGCCGCGGTAATATTGGTTAACCGCGCGACAGGCAGTCATCTACCCAAACAATGCAACATTTACAGCTCGCCCACACTCGCGCTGGGTGGTACTTCACAGCAGCCATTAGACAACACGCCGAGAACAGAAGGCAGACAATTAACGTGGCTCTCTCCATTGTTTTTAAACAGTGTGCTGTATGGAAGCCTTTCGTTCGTGTCTGAAAAGGACACATCCTGCGGGAGGAGGCCGAAGGCTTCACAGCGGGTGGGCCGAAGAGGCGCCCATTGTTTGCCCGATTCCTGGAACCGACCCGCCTCTGTTTGTTTATAATGAGCACTGCTAGTCGGTTGCAGACAGCGGGCCCCTAAACTGCGAGTCATCGGTGAATAATTTTGCAGCCTACTGTTTACAGTCGCTGCTTACCATCGTAGCTGAGTTCGCCCTTCTGGCTAAATGCTGTCTTGCAATCGTCACTGTAAATGAATGAAATAATGAAAATAAATAAGTAAATAAATAAATAAATATACAATAGGGAACCCCTGGCGCTGCTGCTGCCGGCTGCTGATCCATCTTTATTACCGAGCGGGTAAATGAACTCACACCTATACGAGCGGCGGTCAACACATAGTCAAAATAAAGAAGCAAACAAATAGACAAATATGTAAATACGAGTTACCTGATTAAGCAAAAGGCGCCATGATTTAAGTGTTTAGGCACTTTTGCCCCAATTGCATGCTCATCTTGTTTTTATTTCTATTCATTTGTGTTTGTAATAAAATTCGTTGTGTGTGTGTGTGTGTGTCACCATTAATCGGTGGCACCCCGGTTCGGAGTATCTGCTGCATCATCTTTCGTCTCTCTGGATATCACACGTTTGGTCGGTATGCAGTGTCCGAATGACTTCCTGTGAATCCCAGGTGACGGTCTCGGTCGTGCATCCCCTGGCCGGCCCGCTCCGCTGCAGGGTAAACACCCGTCCATGGGCGCTGTCTCCGGAGGCTGCAGCGCCGGGCCCGGCACGCGCCGCCGTCCCGCCGGCCCGGGGGCGGAGTCTCGGCGCCGCCACCCGCCGGCCGCCGGGCTGCAGACAGTGGCAGCGACGGCGGCCCGGACGTCGGACATTCAGTGCTCCTCGCTCGTGGCTGAGACCCCGCGACACACATCGACACGGAACGAAAGGGAACGCGCCGGCGCGCGACGGGTCACTGCTCGACAATGGTGAGTGGCGGCGAGAGCTCGCGACACGCGTTAGTCGTGGTTCGCCGCTGCTGTCGGCCGTTTTCACCATGCTTCTGTGTGTGACTTGTCACCGTTCGCCTGGCCGGGGTCGGGCCCGGGTGGAGCTGGGAGGATGGGCTCTGGAAGGATGTGTGTATCTGGTGTGATGGTAACGTGCTGGGAAGGTGATTAAAGGGACCCTCCCACCTTCAAAAAAGTTAATGAATTGGCACGAAAGTGATGTCGCTCGGTTCAGAAAGAGCGAAAACGAATATCTACCAAATTTCATCTAAAAATATTCACCGGTTTTCAAGATATTAGACTTTTACTTTTGTTTACTTTTTGGGATCTCCGCTGTTCCTAGCGACTTTATTTGAAAGTGCGGCATTTGTTGCGCGCAAAGCAGCATATACCACCGCGTGCTACCAAACGTTCTAGTAAAAGATTTAAAAATCGTTAGATCTCCGCTGACGTCACAAATTCTAAGGGGGCATACCAATGCACTAGCCCCTTAGAATCCGAAAACTGCAAGTTTGAAATTCCATATCTCCGAATTAAAGCATTTGTCGATGTTGTGAGTGCCCAAACCGGTATTTGCAGGCCATGGCCACCAATTTGGCTATCTCAACTCAAAACTAATGTTAAGGTGGGAGTGTCCCTTTAATGCGTGAACTCGTGCTGTGTTCGTTGTCGTTTGGGATTCGGTGTGCTTTGGTGTGTTTACTGGGCCGTGGCGGTGGCATGCCGCGTGTTTACATTTCTGCGACCTAGTTGATAGCGAGCTACCGGTGAACGCCAGAGCACCAGACCAGTCTTTTTCGGAACAGCCCCTCCATCGGTACCGGTTTGTTGACGGAGCGTTCATTTCGATACATGTGTACCAGTTTCCAGGGACGCGGGAACTACTTTCCGACTGGGGGGGGGGGGGGGGCACACCATAATAGAGATCAACCTAGGGTACCCCCAAATCTAGTTTTCTCACCGGTTTTAGGCCACTTGTTTTTCATCCCTCGGCTTTTTCAACAAAAAAAGAAATTATTTGCAAAAAAAAGTGGTATTCCGTCTCAAAGCTGTGGGGGCACCGCCCCCACGGCCCTAGAGTTGGGGGGGGGGGGGGCAAGCTGCCCCCACTGCCCCCCCCCCCCCCCGGCTCCCGCGCCTATGCCAGTTTCATAAAGCTTCAGCTCCGATGGCTTACGTACCACACTTCAAGTTCAACCAGTGTCCAGTACTTAATTGCTGTTGATTTGTACACTCACGATTCGCGAGAACGAATCAAGGCACGTGATACGTGCCTGATCACAAGTGTTGCAATAATATCATTTGCAATGATTCTGCAATGATTTGGGATTAGACCGCTCTACTCAAGTTTCTGGATATGAATCTTGACGATCCACAATTCAGATGATACGTTCCCAATTATCGAAATGAATTTTCTCATTCACAATTTCACGCGCGTGTGCGAATGCCGATATCCTAATGACGACTACACCGGTTGCAGTTCCGCTGCAACTGGTTCGATGTATAGCTGATTCACCCAGGTCAGTTGGAGTATGATACCATCTGCCTACGTGCACAGTTTGCATCGGTGTGCGCACCCCGTTTCTAAGCTGAAGATCTGCTAAGGATGATGAGAACGATGACGCTGAAATTGTGTTGCTTTAATGCAAACTTGATATGTGGTAATCATAAGCCAGAGAGCCGAGACGTTAATTGGCATAAGCGGGCACCCTAATCCCGTCGTTTCTGGAAAACTTTCCGTTTTCTAGATCGAGTGGAATGTGTTGTTTGTGGCAGAATTTCGAAGATGCTGAACAATAATCTTCGAGTTGATGTTCATGCAGTGCTCAAATTGTCCTATTGCAGGTGTTGCGTCCCCTTCAGGTCATTCATTTTTCAGTTTGGATACAGTTTAGTGTGCATTGTTATACAGTCTACCCTGCTGTGTGTGCAACAGTGCGAACATGGTGAAGGTGAAGTTTTACGGACATTGTGTTCGATAGCTAAAAAACTGAAGGCTGTAAGCTAATCGTATAAACGATTATTTCCAACAACTGCAGCTATGCAGCATGCTATCCACTGCTAGTCTGTATCTGCACAAGTTCCTTTACATACAACTTTGCAACGAAAATCGGAATGGTGCAGAGAATGAGTCATGAACTTTTGTTAAATGCTCACTACGCTGTGCCGGATAGCTTTTCGGTCGGATTAGAAGCGTAAAATACTCTCGGCAGTCGCCACTACGTCCAGCTTGTTTCTCGTGTTTGGCTCGGGCCGGATTACGCCCGCAGCCGTGCTGTCTCTGAGGTATTATGGGAACCTGTTGGTCCGAGCCGGGCCCCAGTACAGGCACGGACACACTTCGTCACTGCCCTTGCAGGCTCAGCTGGAAGGTCAGTGGCGCGCCGGTGCGCGGCGAATGCTAATGTCCGGCACACCCGCCGACTGCGCCACGACCGAGCACTTACCGTGACCGCTCACCCGTGATCAGCGGAGGCGGAAAAACGTCCATGAATGACGCGCAACGTGACAACAGAGGAGTGTGCCGAGGAGCCGCATTACGCATCGACAGTCCGATCAGATTACCTTCCTGATAAATTGCCTGCTCATGTATCACGATTAGATCTGCATGTCTGTCATTCCTAATTGAGTCCAGCTTTTCCGTGTGATTGGCGGGCTGTCAGACGGGTAGTTTGGGCAATTCGACAGGCTCCAAACGCGTAGAATACATGCAACCTTCGAAGTTTCTTGTGCGTCCCGTTCATATCTCGCATACCACCACCAAACATTCAGTTGACGCGTATCGAATGCTTCATCAATTCGTTTATGGCATGCTAAGAATCAGCTAAGTGTTGTTTTTACCCTGTTGCGCGGACGTAGAACACTTCCTGTTGCCGCTAATAGCACAGACCATCCCCCAGTCCCTGACCTTCTGTCGTGAGAACCCACGAATCAATCGTGGCACCGGCCATGGGAATCGCTCTCTAACAGCGCTTCAATCGCGCATCGGGAGCCTACTGCCGGGTCGTAACCGGGCAGGAGGAACCAGAAGCCCCGCTGAATGAGCAGTGAGGCCGACGGCATCCATCGACGGAGAGCATCGTAGGCCGTAGCGGCGCACTGTCGGCCCACATTTCAGGTCGTGAGCGATGCCGAGGTTAATAGGCTTGGGCGTGGATTAAGAGCTTCCGGAGCTGTCTCTCACATTAGGGGGATTTTCACACGGCCTGGTTTCCGCTGTACTGCCATGTCACAGGTCGCGCGTAAGGCCCTGGTGGGATGCGGTTTCACTCCACAATACCCCGAGTGCTGGCACGTCGTATTATTATGCTTTTTACGCCGAGATTGCACGACCGTGGCCTGATACGTGCGTTAGCCTGACTCTGAGTGGTGTGGCCGTGGCGCCGGATACGTGAATGGCGTGAGCGTGTGATTTCACGAGAACTGCTGGATTTAATTCTCAAGTAAAGCCTTATATCCGCTCGGCCTTGTGTTAGACCTTGACGTGCATGTACAGTATAATGCTGGTTCAGTCGCACCTGGACTGTGATGCTAACTTCCTTCTGCCGAACTCCAATACCACGGCTCTCCACAAAATCGATACACTATCTAACGGTTCCTGGCTCGTTTTTTTTTAGGTCGCGTCGCAAGCGGCGGTGCTGCTAACTCTTGTCGCCTGCCTGACCTGCCGTCTGGCTGCGCTGCCTCAGGGCCACAAAATCGTCAGAGGTGAGTAACGAGGTCACCTGAGGTCAGCGGGGTCACCGGGGCCACCAGAGGTCATACCAGCTCTGCGCAGAACATACACCGAACTGCTCATGAGCGGAGAACGCTTCCCGACTGGTGTGGAGGGGGAGCGGTCGGCTCATCCAAGGCCCTCTCGGCGACCCTGGCAGAGGACGTGCCCGTGCCGGCAGTGGTGCTGCTTTATTGCCCACGTCGGCACACGGCCCGAGAATTAGCTCGCGGCTGCAGCTCTCCGGGCTCGGTGGAGCGGCGCCGAGTTATGGGGCAGCCCGGCCGGCGGCTCCGAGTTATGGTGTGTACCGACAATCATGGCACTCCGGGAAGACAGTCACGGCCGAGTCTGCGGCTCCGGGCGGAGAGCCTGATAGCCCGGATAGAGCTCTGAGAGGCGAGAGCTGAGTAATCTGTAGCCCGAGGCTGTGTTGAATTACTGCCTGCCGGACCGTTTGTGGAGCACGGCTCGGCATCCCCAGCGCAGTCTGCATTCATGCAATGTGGATCAGCCTCGCACTTAGTTCACTTTAGTTGCATCATGCGTCACAATGTGTGAAAGGTCGTCGCGAACACTTTACATAAGCCGGAAGGCGAGACCTGTGGCTGTGTCAAGAATGAGCGGACGGTTCCTTTGAAGGGACGGGGGCGCTAGCATCCGCTCAGAAGGCCGGGCTATTGCCGCCTGCAGTCGGGTCGCGGCCTGTCCCAGGCTTTCCCCGAGGCGGAGGCCGAATGTGCTCGAGCAGAACACCTCCGAGGTTTCTGCGGTCGGTTTGACCCTCAATGCGACGGTGGCGAAATATTCGCTCCCACGCCAGCGGTGCAATGCGCAGCGCGGAGCACACACCCTGCGGCCGCTGAGTCGCGACTCGGATACTAGCTGAACTAAACTGAAGCTCTGAGCTGAAGTTCTCCGTGTGCCATCCTAGCTAGGTCGAAGATTTGTCACCAGCGATCTTTTTTTTTGCAATAGACGCATAGTCTATTGCAAATTAATCTTCATTATCCATTTCAATCAAGCGCTGTTTTTGTCAGTTATCGATGCTTATTCAAAGAGATTATGCTGCTACAGGAAGAGCGAATTGATGTTGACCGTGTCACGTGTGAAAGATTGTCCTATCGTTACATTCAATAGATAAAGTTATAACCAAGGCTATGTTATGAATAAAGTCTGTCTCTGTGAATTCATTTTAAAAGGGCACTCCAGCTCCAAAGGCCTATTTTGCAAACCCATTATTTACATATCATCCGCATTGTTTTCATGAAAGATGAAATTATCTCGTGTCGTATCCCATGCCTGTGACCTCTTCTGCCTCTGACGGCGTTTTTCCGTGACAACTCGGTTGGGGTGGCTAGTGACACCGCGCATGCACGCGCACGTAGGAGAGAGGTGCAGTTTCTAATCAAACATCTGCGACGTCGCTGTGGTCACCGACCTGTGACGGTCTGCCGGGCAGTGGCCGGCAGGTGGGGAGGAGAGAGGGGGAAGGGAGAGAGAGAGAGAGAGAGAGAGAGAGAGAGAGAGAGAGAGAGAGAGAGAGAGAGAGAGAGTGAGGGAGAGAGAAAAAATCAAGTGCGAGAGGATATAAGACGGGAGGATATACATAAGTCGGAAACGTGACGGAGGATGCGGGCAGATGGGGGAGGAGGAGGTCGACGGGAGCGGAAATGTAGACGGCAGAGACGGAAACGGCGAACTGATATTAAAATGCTACGACATTCTGATGTAACCGACTTTTGAATTACATACACGCTCCTAATCCCGATCGTTTGCTCTGAAATTTACCATAGCATGCTCCCGATCCGTATACTGTGAATTAATTGTGGTTTCATTTTCCGACAGACGACTACGCCTACAGCCGTCAGTACATGTACGGCCGACGGGACCACGGTGCCATGCAGATGCACGGGACGGACAAGCGCGGCCAGGCGCCCTGGAGGGCCGGCGTCAAGCGCGGCTTCTACGGCATGTACGACCACTATATGATCGGGTGAGTGGCGGCCAACGGCATGTCAATGATGTCGTAAATCAGTTTGTTTGTCGAGCGATACGGTGTTGTATGTGTTTATAAGCTACAGGATTTTTTTTTTAGTAATGAGATAATGCTACTGCTGCGCAAAAACGTTATGTTATACGCTTTATGCCGTTTATTATGTAACGTACCCACCTAATGGTGAAATGGTTGTTTTATGTTCACCTGAATCGTTTTGACATTCGGCCTTGTGACTTGTTCGTAAGAGGATTTTGGTACGGCTTTGCTGTTACGATTTACGCTTGGATTATGCGTATGAAGTCGCTTATGTAACATTTCAAAATAATCGCGTTCAGTGCTCTTATTTTCTGTAGTGTGACTGACGGTCCTTCAATCAACGCGTTCTGCCCCTCGTTTTCAGTCGCGTCCAACCTCTGGAGAAGGGAGACGCGGCACCGGGCCAGCCGCAGGCCGCCGAGGTCAAAGGATTTCCGATCGGCGTGGCGTCTGACGGAGCCGCCAGCCGAGTCAGCCGGCCGGTTCTTCTGCTCCTGGTGCTGCCGCTGCTGGCGGTGGTGTGACGTCATAAGCCCGAGAGAGACCGTTCAGTGACGTCATTAGTGCAGTGACCGATCAGTGATGGAACAGTGGGCCAGTGGCTGAGACGTTCAGGAACTGTCCAAGACTCTGTGTTGAGTGTAGAAGAAGGAAGGGCAGTAGCTGTGCCCGTCTATGCTGATTTTCTATGGCTGGCTTATTATCTGGCACCTCTTATTTTTGATGATGTGCTGAATGTATAGCGGTGATATTTTGAACCGCTAGTTAGAAGCAAGGAGTGAGAGTATGACTGAGGCCCCGACTGTTCCGCCATGACTGATGAATTACGATGTAAGACTGGAGAGGAGATGTGAATCGTTCAAAATTGCACTCTGTTTTAAGCGTGCAAGTATAAGGTTAAGTTATGTAACGTTGAGCGAGTATATGGTATTTATTTGTTCTTCGTATTGCAACTAGTTATTTCGAGGTATTTTATATATTCACAAACATTTCGATTTGCATCGCCGATCACATTTGCTGTCGGTTGTCCGCAACAGCATGGGCAGACCTTTCATTTTTATTTATTTTTGTATTTATTTTTTTTTATGAATCGGAACCTTTTGTGGTTCCTGCGATATGTTAAGGTACATGTATGTATGACGTTCATCTGGAAGTACTTTTTTCGCGACAGTTTCACTTGATATCATTTATTCCAAATCACAGTACCTATGTATGGAATTGGATGCATGAATTTCAAATGTATTGACTATTGAGTGACACGGGATGCCTAGTGAAGTGACTTTCTCATTCTGCCGCGTGAAATGCGAAAGATCTGATGGAAACAAAAACCGTATGTTTATTTGGCCACACGCTATTATGAAATGTTGCGACAGATGTTTCATTGTTGTCAATAAAATGCGACACCCCCAAAACAAATGTCACCTATGTCTCCATTTAGGTGTTCACCGTGCCCCCCCCCCCATTTGGTTTTGCCATTTTAACATTAGCCCTATGGGCGTCGTTGCATGGAAAAGAATAGGACCAAAACTCGGCAGTGGCACCCCCCCCCCCCCTAATTGAAGGTGTTCCGCCGCCACTGCTCGAGTTCCCGTCTCCCGTCCCGAGCTACTGAAAACGGAAAAAGGCAAAAGCATTTCCGAGCTTCACATAGCAAGCCCGAATCCTTTCCCATGTACGATCTCCCGAATATGATTTGATATATCCACAGTGTACATAAATAGATATATCAATTTGCCTTGATATAACCGACATGAATACATGGGTACAAGCATTTTGTTCTAATGACGTAATTTACTGATGAGCAGGTTGACAACAGCCGGTTTCATACTTGTACCTAAATTTTCGCAACCTTGACTCGACACGCACGTGGTGGTGGCGGCGCTGCTGGGTTGTGGGTTGTGATTGTTAATTTCGTTAATTTCCGCATTGGTAATTTCAACCACACGGTGAGCTTGGGATTATTTTCTTTACAGTAAATTTGATAGCATTACCTGATTATTATCTTGCTGAATGATAACAGTAAGGCCTTGATAACAGCGTCAAATAACGGCAGTTTGGCTCAGGCTATTTTTCATGTTTTTCAATCAATTTTTAAATAAAACAAACTGAATGTAAAAGGTGGATTTTGGATGTTCAATATGCAGTTTGAAATTAGATGTTTGCTTTATGATGGAGTGGCACAGACTTTTAAAGTGTGCCAAAAAGGAGGAAATCATCCATACCTGTTTCGGTAGGTAGTTTTAAAGCAGGTGTCACACTTTTTCAAGCAAGCAGGCGTTTTTTCCAACCAAGGAGATGTGTTATACCCAAAGATGCTTTCTTATCAAAGCAAACCAAACCTAACCAAACCTGAACTAACCTTACCTACAACCTAACTTACCACCTAAAACCTACAATCTATGTACATTGTACAACCCAACCTACAGTGCCTCTCCACGGTCATGGTTGGAAAAACAAGTCAGTAGGCAGAACTATGGTCAAGCGTACCCATTTTCGGGAACGCATTTTTGTTCCCATGTTTGGGAACGATAAACCCAAATATGGGAACGCCATGTAGGCATTACCGTAAAACGGGGTGTTAAGGGACAGTTTTGAGGTGTTTTGTTATATAACTCAAGAAGGGTTGGAGACAGAAGCATCAAATTGTCAGCATTTTATGTGGAATTTGGTGCTTTACATGCCTGCTACATTAAAGTTTTAAGATTTATACCTGTATATTATTTATTATTATTTTTCATCACTGTCCCTTAGCATTCCAATGTGGGGTGTTAAGGGACACCTACATTATTCCAAGAAATGGTCATCAAATGCCTACAATTGGGGTGTGGAAGGGCACACAATTTATTTATTGAAATGTTTTGCATATTCTGTCACAAAACAAGTCAGCTTCATTCACCACTAATGACCTTTTTAGCCAATTACATGTAATGCAGTTTACGCTTGTGGAAAATGTGCTAATTATAAGGTAAACAGAACCAAAAAGTAATCTTCTGTCATCAATAAAAACCCATGTTGAAGCTAGTCACTTGTCATTATGTTGCCCTCTTTGTTTTAGCCTTTTTATGATGACATCACATTTACCTACATCAGTCTCCATTGACCCATCATTGTAAAAGAGAGTGTTGAGATGTTTTGTTACATAACTTAAGATGTGTTAGAGATAAAAGCATGAACTTGCCAGCATTTGATGTGGAATTTGGTGTTTTCCATGCCTACTGAAAGAAAACTTAATTAAATTATATTTAGATATTATTTTTTATTTTTTCTTCCCTGTCCCTTAGCACCCCACATCCACCTCAAAATATGCATGTATCCGGAAAAGAGGAAGAAGATGATGAATGAATGGGTGGATTTGCACAAGTTTTTCAGGAAACATGTGCAATACATGTGACAATACACCTATGCATTCATTTTCCCTGTATACCCACTAGTTTATGTGGTACACACAGAGTTTTGGAGATGTTTCAATTTTGTGAAAATGTAGCATGATTTTCAAATCCATTTTTGAACCAAATCACTTGCATGAAAAACCATACCATTTTGTCCTATGGTCAAGAGCAAAACAGTGTCAACTACCACACTGAAGTTTTTATTGAACCTTCTCAAATTAGGAAGTTAATATGACTCAAAGTTTTTCCCATGCAACTGTCCCTTAACACCCCACTGTCCCTTAACACCCCATTTTACGGTATTTAAAACAAGAAAAAGAACCGTTAAATGACGTCCAAAAAATATAAAACGATCGTGAACCGCCTGATATTTGTCTCAATATTGTTGGGAAAGAGTTTGATATTGTAAGGCCCATCGTAGTTTCAAATCATTCCCCTATTTCTAAAGCAGTCCATCATCCGGGCCGCGAGCCCAAATTTGGGAACGCTCTCGTACACTGGCGCTGCAAGCGTTCCTTATTATGGGAACGGCGTACCCAAAATTGGGAACGATTTCACCGACGACTTTTCGATGAAATATAAAAGTTGCAATATCTCAAAAAGTATACAATGCAAACGCGTAAAAACTTGCAGAATTCATCACAATATCATGAGTAACATTTCCAAATCCTAAATGGTACTTTTTTGAAGGTGGGATAGTCCCTTTAAGAGTTAAGACTATACTCAATATCTACACATGCCTAGATAATAATTGCTAAAGTTAGTCTGAAATTCTGCATGTGCCACTTTTTTGCTATGCATTTCCATCTAAGTACTTTATGACACTGTTCACCTTTTCTTTATGATGCCTATGTGTACTTGAGTTAAAAACAATTGTAACTTTCCTTGTTATTTCCAGCATAAGATGGGAAAGAAAAGCCTGAACACCTCTGAAGCTGGGGAGGCTCTGGATGCCTCACAAGTTGAATCTGGTCTAAGCTATGAAGAGAAGTTGAAGTTTGTCAACAGAATTGCAAAACCAATGGCATCAAAGAAGCTTGCAAAGAAGTTGATGAAAATGATCAAGAAAGGTAGGGTTCATACTTCCGACTGCTTCACATGCAGATTCTAGAAAAATCAATTCAGTTCCTGAAATTTTGATTGACCACTGGTATGGAAAGGCATGGTGCAAGAAGCTGCTTTATTAACCCTCGCCGGCCGAGGGTGGGCGGGTACCGCCCCCCCCCCCCCTAGGTTTTTTTTCGTAATAGCTCCGAACACACTGGGGATAGAGAGCTGAAACTTGGCATACCTGACCTTTGATTCAAGCTGGATCTTTTGACACCAACCGCGTTTTCGGGTCAGGTCAGGTCACTGACCTATGACGTCATAAGTGAACCTCTGCACGGTCTTCAGATGTCGCAACTTTGCAACGCCCTCACTGCCAGAGGAGCTTTCACAGGGAAATGAAACTTGCATGATTTAGTATCCATTACGAGTCTCACAACTTGTATATCTCGGGTTTTTCCTAAAGGTCATGAGGTCAGGTCATTTTCGTGACCTCACCATTGTAAGTCAATAGGGAAAAATGAAAACTGCTATTCTGGCGCCGGGAACGATCTCCAACTATCTCAAGCACACAGAATCGTGATTTGATGCACTCCTTGCAAGGTTACATGTCACTTTTGCAATGTTGACCTTGCATGACGTCTTTTAGGACATCATTAGGGTCATAATAGTTTTTCGTCAATAACTTCCGATCAAATTGAGCTAGCGCGTCGGGAAAGCCACCACCAGTCAATTCCACCAATGGAATGGACTCAGTAAGACCTGCCGAATCGAATGATATGCTACATGACCTACTTCGACCAATTTCGTGACCAGGGGGTCATTGACAGTGCAACAAACCTGACCGTGACCTGAGGTCAACACCCTAAGTTGACCTCACCCAAACAAAAAGTATATGTATCATTCGACTCGTCTGAGCGAGGCGAACACGATGCTGCCAAAATCGCGGCTTTGCGGCCGTTTTTTTTTTCTCGAAGTTATTCAAAAACGGAACCGTACCTTGGGGCACTTGACCTGACCTCAGAGGTCACCGGTTGACCTAGGACATTAAAATCGGGTATCAATCTCTGCGTCTCGTAACGGCACACGCGCTCGTTTTTTCCGCGACGCGCTAGCTCCACCAGGGGCGAAACGGCGAGGAGGTCGTACCGTCGTACCCCCCCCCCCCCTCGGCCGGCGCGTATGTAGAAAACCAATAGGTCCGGCGAGGGTTGATATAACTTGCAATAAAGTTACAAATGGATAAAAATATCATTTAGAAAACAAATGCTAGATTATATCTTATCATGGGTGCAAGGCTTATGTCTATGTGGAACATTCTTCAACTTTTTTCCTCAATTCTTATTTTGGGGAAGTGGTTATTGACAAACCACTTTTATTTCTCATGTCATAGGCAGTTTTTTTAGTTTCATGTGTTGCCTCATTTGTAATGAAATCACATCTTTCACTGCCTTTTTTGCAGGAAGCAAGCACAAGGGCCAGATCAGAAATGGACTGAAGGATGTCCAGACAAGGTTGAGGAAGGGTGACACAGGGTAAGGATTATCACTGGCTACCTCCCCTTCTACACTCAGTCTGGGTTTTCTCGTTCCCAGACAGGGTCACCTGGTGTTTTGTGGTCTTTTCCCCAAAGACCGCCTTCCCCTCCGCTGACCGCCGCGTCCGTCTGTCCGCTGACCGCCTCGCCCCTACCTCCGCAGTATCGTGGTGTTCGCCGGCGACGTGACTCCGGAAGACATCATGTGCCACCTGCCGGCCGTCTGCGAGGACAAGTCGATCCCGTACGTCTACGTGGCCAGCAAGGACGACATCGGCGGCGCGCTGGGCAGGAAGAAGGGCTGCATCATGGCGCTGATCCAGCCGCACGGCGACTACTCGGACGCGTTCCAGGAGTGCTCTGAGGAAATTCGCCGGCTGCCGCTGCCCGTGTAGTGATGGGGTGACCCGCGTGTGTATGGTGTGTCGGGTGTTGACAGCCGAGTGGTCGGGACGAGAATGGCAAGCCGATGTCTCAGTTCTCTGAAGGGTGTGTGCATGATGTGTGGTTTACCAAGAGGTGAGATGAGTGACGATGACTGATGAGGACGTGGTGACTGAAAACTGGACCAATCAGGTTTCCGCGGGACCGTGTCGGAACTGCTCACGTGCCGGCGTGGTTGTGAAATGCCGAGTGCGTGACGTCATGAAGCCGCGTGGTGAAGGTGTTGTTTACATGTCAAAGCTCCGGCTGAGTCTCTGAGAGGGGAGTGGGGCGGGCTATTTCGTGCCAGACGAGAGTGGTGGGAATTCGGAGGCGAAGTAACTGATACATTACAGCGACGGTGACAGAAGATGAGCCGTCTCTGGACGATTCCGAACCTGTATGTTTTTCGACATGTTTTGATTCAGCGACTTTTTGTAAAAAAAAAAGGCATCGGGTCAAAAAAGGAAGCTGCCATTTGTTGCGAAAATGTAACCTCCGATTCACTTTGGAATAAATAGGTAACCAGGATAAATGGATTTGCTGAAAGAAAGCGTTCGAACTGCAGTTTTGGCGGAGCGACAGTGATTGATAAATTATGAACACATTCATACCCGCTTTGGACGTGAATGCTTCGAGGCCAAATGCATCCGGGGGGCGTGAAAATCTAAAAAGGATTCACATAGGTGGCCAGTGCACTGGGCAGACCAGTGTTTCATTTTTCAGCCTTTTTGGTGGCAAATCACACCTAATAGGGAAAATATTTTCATCCCTAAGATATGAATGACCGACTTTACTTCATCTCTGAAAAGAGTTTCATGTATTCCCAACAGCAGTTCACTTGTCACTTGACAGTTGATGCACCCACATCCTTTTGTTCCACACCCTGTCAAGATCCTGACATGAAATCCTGGTTTAGATAGATAGATAGATAGATAGATAGATTTGTATTCCAGACTAACAGTCCATTGCTATGAGTTGATGATGGATGTACCACTATGGATGATGGATGAACAACAACAAACATCGATTAAAGGGACCCTCCCACCTTAACATTAGTTTTGAGTTGAGATAGCCAAGTTTGCGGCCAGGCTCAGAAACCACCATTCATCCTGGTCGCAACCCCCGCAGCTTTATGGTGTTCAAGAAATTTCTTCCCTTTACTTGCAGGGTGGGACCAGCGTGGTCCCTATCTCTTAACCATTACGGGAATCTGATGACGTCATCAGGCTTTCGAACGTCCGTTAAATGTTTGACTAAAACGTTTTGTAGCACGCGGTGGTATATGCTGCTTTGCGCGCAACAAATGCCGCACTTTCAAATAAAGTCGCTAGGAACAGCGGAGATCCCAAAAAGTAAACAAAAGTAAAAGTCTAATATCTTGAAAACCGGTGAATATTTTTCGATGAAATTTGGTAGATATTCGTTTTTGCTCTTTCTGAACCGAGCGACATCACTTTCATGCCAATTCATTAACTTTTTTGAAGGTGGGAGGGTCCCTTTAAGGCACACTCCCAGTCGATGCACATTCACTGTAGCACAGCATGACAATAGAGCTTACTGAGCCAAAAACGTTTCAGTTTTGATCTGAAACGGAGATCCCCTGAATTGATTGCTTCAATGATGCTATTGGGGCTCTCTTCAAGTCTTCTCAGAAACTTATAAATAAGTTTCCTGAACACGCTTTCACAATTCAGCACTCTAAAATATGCACATGTCATACTTGTACTCTCAAATTTAGATAACCCGATAAGTCGTTTAAGAAGGTTGTGATAGCTCACAATGACAGTCGGGCACACTGTGGTATTTCCGATCCATTTATGGAAACGTTTCCATTTTTGGAACAATGTTCCAAAAATGGATACGCCGTTTCCAAAAATAGAAACGGTCTGTTCCATAAATGGAGACGCTGTGTGCATTGCTACCTTTAAAGCAAACTGGGCATTGATTGGTGCAATTTGGCATGCGCAGGATGCCACCTATCGACAGCCAGCATTCTAGTTTATGTTCCTGTTCTCCGACTTTCCGATCAGAAAACCGAAAGTTGACGAACGAGGCGATGCTTATAACATGTTGACGTGATAAAAAATTCACACGTTTTTCTAATCGAAAATAATAACATTTATGAATGTTTTGAACAAAAAATAACGTTTTAAACAGACTACTGAAAGACTGGCCCATTGATTGGAACAACCACATCACCGGGAACTTCAGTTTTTCATTCATTTTCACGCTGCATTTTCCGGTGCACCAGCGGCCTGGTGGTCGTCAATCTGTGATTAAATCGCATGAAAGTTGTTGCAAAGCCCTATTTGGAGACTTTAGCGGGCATTATATGATATTTCAAATGTGCTGAATATGATCGTAGGCTCGGATCAACGTAAATCTCCGTGCAAATTCGTAAAAAGCAGGATGGAAATAAGGTCTGCACCGTCGTCACACCAAATGCCGTTGTATTCTGACGGTGAATCTATTCATTCTAGCTCATGTGTAACATTGATATCAATTTTATATATTGAAATGATATCTACGCTTTATGTATTGCCCACTTTGGACCACATCTGTCCAGTAGTTTCTGGGAAATCTTAGTTTTAGTTGACTTTTGAATGCGCTAAAGTTGCGGCGCGTAATGTATTATTATCGAACCCGACGTCCAAGGTAACTGCCGAGAGCCGAGATGCTAAACCAGTCCCAAAACATCAAATTTTTAGTTGCATGTGAATTTTAAAAACACATTTAAGCTAAGTTTGCACACATTTGAACTTCAGCGTTTCTATTTTTGGAACATCGGCGTTTCCATTTTTGGAAACTAAGTCTCCATAAATGGATACGATTCAGGAGCATTTTAAAGACGTGAATTTGAATGCATACGACAGCTTTCCATGCAAGAAGACAAGTGCTTTTGGTGTATCTGAGCTTGTTTTACGCGAAACAGTTGTTATACATCAAATCCAGCCACCCTTGGCAAGAAAATACGTGCGGAGATGTAAGCGTTTCTATTTATGGAACGAGCGTTTCCATTTTTGGAACAGAAGAGTAGTCAAAATTGGAAACGTTTCCAATAATAGAAACGTCTCCATAAATGAATCGGAGATACCACAGTGCGCCCGACTGATGAGTCGATTCATAGTTGCCTTCCTATAGTTCCACCACAGGTGTGCACAGTACATCGATGAACAGTAAGCCTCAAATAGTTTCAGTTTGACATCTACAGTACACATGTGAAACATCCTTATGATCATATTCCCTCTGACAAATAAACCTTTGTTCTGATTGGCAATATCTAGATCATCAGTCATGTCTTCCTCTATGATATGCCCAAGATATTTAACTTTATCAACACATACTAACGGCATGGGCCCTAACATAAAATCAGGTATTTTGACATTCCTCATCCCCTTCGATCTACATGACATTGCAACACTCTTTGAACTATTATACACAACATCATTTGCCATACCAAATTCATGGCAAACATTCAACAGTTTTTGCATCCCTGCACTTGATGGAGAGATAAGCACCACATCATCAGCATACATCAAGTGATTGACCAATTTCCGACCTATAAGACAACCTATGCCCTTTTCATTTAATCTGCTAGACAACTCATCTATAAACACGTTGAAAAGGGGAGGTGACAAGATACCTCCCTGCCGGACACCATTGGACACTTTAAACTTTTCTGAAAAAGTGGATCCCCATTTAATGACCATTTCTTGCTCTTGGTACCAGAACGCAAGCAATCTTAGGTACACATAAGGAACACCTCTCTCTGAAAGCCTCTGAAAGAGAATTTTATGATTAACACGGTCAAACGCCTTGCTTGCATCAAGAAAACACAGATGGACAATGCTATTCATTGACTTATACTTTTCAACTATCTCTTTCAAAGTGTAAATGCATTGGTCTGTGCCAAGGTTCTTTTTAAAGCCAAACTGGTTGTCCTGTGTCAACAAATAATTCTCAAGTCGTTTTTGCAGTACTACCTCGAAAAGCTTACTCACCATGTTAGGGGTTGCCACAGGTCTATAATTATTCATTTCGGTGATCGAAGCAGCTTTGTTCTTTACTATTGGCACAATGCTCACCGTCATCAAAGACCTTGGGAGGAAACCATGAAGAAGGAAAGCATTGAAACACAAGCATAGTAATGTCACAAGCCTATGTGAAGCATGTAGGAGATGCTCAGGAGATATTTGATCAGGACCACCTGCCTTACCCTTTTTCAGCTCGAACAAAGCATGCCTGACCTCCTCAACAGTAACAGGTACTATTTCATTATCCTCTTCTGTATTCCATACGTTATCCTTGTCTGTCATGCTATCTGGCACGGAGTTAAGCAGATCCTTAAAATGTGTTTGCCATAAAGAAGCAATGTTAGCTTCACCAGATACGTCATTAATCGTATTTGGTCTCGGAATCTTTGCTCCTTTGACATTGCTTACTTCCTTCCAAAAACTCTTAACATCCTTATCAACAAATTTTGAAGCCAAAGACTCTTGTCGTAATTCGTTTTCATACCTTTTGATGAAGCGTATCGCTCTTTTACATTCAAGCTTAGCTTGAATGTGTGCCTGATAGATGGGACCATCCCGAGGCATTCCAGATGCTTTCCATAGCAGAAATGTTTCCCTAGAATGATCATACTTGTCTTTTACAAATCTATTCCAACCAGGCTTACCTTGAGGGTGTGAATGTCTCCTATCTCTCTGCATCATCTCATGGCTAGCTATTCGCAGGCAATCAATTATTTGCTCATATGTCTCATTTATATCATTCATGTGCTCCTTTAACTTGCAATTCCCTTCAGCACATGTCAAACCTGGAAGCATCGGTACATCTTTTAAAGGAAATAGTTCACTTTTAACATGGGGTTTTGAGCTGGAATAGCAGTTTCGTAGCTTGAGCTGAGACTAGCACAAATCAGGAGCTTTTACGGCTCAACGATCACCCTAGACGAAGATATTCCATTTCTCGTTCCGAAAAGAGTGCCTTGTAGAGGAATGCGTGCCTTGCACAGGAATGCAGCCACGTCATCGTCAGCCAATCAGCGTGCTGCTTACAGCCAATGCAGTATGCGTAGGTTTGAGCTACGCGATATGATTGGTCAATGCGTAATAAGCTTCCGCGTCAAACATTATTTTACATAGAATATAGTTCGTCCTATATTAAAATATAGAAAATAATTGTTTTTACAAAAATGTTTTATTTTATTTCATGATTATTTTGAGCATAAAAAATCATAAATCAATAGCAAAATACTGATTTTAGGAAAGTGGACTGTTTCCTTTAAGCACTCATCTGTTAATTCATTGAACTTAAGCAAGGCACTGGTGCTGAAGTTGTCCCAATTGACAACTGCATGAAAATGTTCATCATCAGTGACCTCTGGGAGCTGATCTACTGAAAGAGTGAGGCACAAAGGCATGTGGTCCTCTTGGGATATGCCATAATCTATATGCATCTCAGTTATTACTCTATGCAGGTCCGCACTTGAGACTGCATGATCCAACCAGGATTTTGAACCCCAGCTAT